AATTTAATATGTAAAAAAAAAAAAAAAAAAAAAAAAAAAAAAAAAAAAAAAAAAAAAAAAAAAAAAAAAAAAAAAAAAAAAAATTAATTAAAAAAAAAAAAAAAAAAAAAATAAAAAAAAAAAAAATATACAAAATTTAATAAATTTATAAAAAAAAAAAAAAAAAAAAAAAAAAAAAAAAAAAAAAAAAAAAAAAAAAAAAAAAAAAAAAAAAAAAAAAAAAAAATAATTATTTAAAAAAAAAAAAAAAAATATTATAAAAAAAAAACCCCCCTTAAAAAAAAAAAAAAAAAAAAAAAAAAAAAAAAAAAAAAAAAAAAAAAAAAAAAAAAAAAAAAAAAAAAAAAAAAAAAAAAAAAAAAAAAAAAAAAAAAAAAAAAAAAAAAAAAAAAAAAAAAAAAAAAAAAAAAAAAAAAAAAAAAAAAAAAAAAAAAAAAAAAAAAAAAAAAAAAAAAAAAAAAAAAAAAAAAAAAAAAAAAAAAAAAAAAAATTTAAAAAAAAAAAAAAAATTCCTTAAAAAAAAAAAAAAAATAAAAAAAAAAAAATAAAAATCTGTATACTATTTTTAGTGCATTGAAATAAAAATACACACATTCAATAAGACGACATGCTACATCCACCTTAATGATTACTATTTGATTACCTTTTAAGGGTTATTTTTATTTGGTGTGTTCTGTTTTGGCCCACTTTGTGGCAGCACGTGCTTCAGCTTAGCTTGATCTATTCTCTTTTTATTTACCTTGGGCACCTGAGTTGTTTTTAATAAACTGTTGATAATGGATAACTTTTGGCGCTTACCAACCACCCACACACTCAGAAACTGAGAGACAAGACACCTGCCCACACTGGTCCACGAATTGTGCCGCTTTTGGACGTTTTTTTCATCTGTCTTGCTGCTACTTTGTGGTCAATAAATGTGGCCATAATAAGCCTTGTTCGGGCGTGGGCGTGGCATTTATAGTATTCCATTCGAGTTTGCTATCGCGTGTGCAGACTTCTTAGTTATCGTGGAGTGTGTGTTGGCGTGCTCTGGGCAATTTAGTTTTTTTCTCTCTTTCGTTTTTGCCATGAGGAGCATTTCAGTGCGATTCATTGACCAGATTCCATGACTCTGCGCAATGTAAATGAAACAGTTGTTACTTGTGTTGCTACTTTTGTTGTTTTAGCTGGCGTAATTATGTGGCCAGAAAATCGTTGGCTGTCATTAGGCGCACGAGTTGACCGTGAACCAGTGACGGTTTCACATTTTGAATTCTCTTTCGCTTTTTGTTATTGAATTTTATAAAAACACTTTCGGCAATCCATTAAAAAGTAAAATAAATTGATGTTAAAATAGGTTAGGAGTAATATCGTTTTACTTAAATATTTGATTTCAATAAGAGTAGTTGAAGCTGAAGAATAGCATTTTCGTATAGATAACTCGAAGATTTTATAAAGTTAATAGGCTGTTTATACAACTTGTAGTCAAACTCTAGTAAACTACATGTTGAAATATGAATTGTAAATCAATTGGTTTGATTTAAATCGAAAAAGTTTGCTCTCATGCATATAAATTGAATCTAAATTGACCAAGGCATAAAGACTTTCGGAAATCGAATTTAGGATTGTTGAGGCTCTTTCCTAATCCTCAAGAGAATTGAGGTCGGGAACAGAGGAGTATGTGCGTTTTGGGGTGTGCTATTCAGTTCTGCCAGTTGCATTGCCAATATCCGCTGGCAATGCAATCAAGCATCAAATAAAAGTAGAAAAAACAATACAGAACCATCAAAATCCATTGCCTGAATACCTGACTGGGCGAACGAATGAATGAATGAATTAGTGACGAATGGCGAGCGAGCTTCGTGGATCGATTCACGCTCGACCGACAAACTTCCGCTGCTGGGCAGAAAGCTAACGAATGATAACTGTGCCATGTTTTCCACTGGGGGTTAAGTGCAAACGTCATAAACTCAATTTCTCCGGCTCCCCTCCCTTGATTCCCCAGTGCCCTTTAACTGTACCTCGCTGTGTGTACAATGTACATAGTTTAGTTACCTTTCGAAAAGACAAAGCTCCGAGCAAAGCAGAGTCGGACCAAAACAAAAAGTGATTCATGCGCAACCAGAAAAACCGAAAGAGACGGGTAGATTCCCGAAGAGAGAGAGGGAGAAACTTGTTTCCTAGGCCCAACACGAGGCATCGAAGCATCCAAAGATGGGAAATGCCCGCTATAAGGAGAACTCTCTCGGAGAATCACACACTCGGAAAAAATTAAGTTTGGGACCTGATCGAAAAACTTTACGTGTTCAGTTAACCAGAATATTTAAAGCACACAAATATTTATACATTTTGGTAATGTTTCCGCATACTTGTATAATTCATAAAATATTTTAAAGAATATAAATCATGAAGAATATAAAAATGTTGATCAATGGTACCTTTTACCTGATATTCAAAAAAACCTATTGTATTTAAAATGTTAAAAGGAAAATGTAAAAAATTCAACCCGATGTAAATCTAATTTCTACTGAACAATTCACTTCGTCTAAATATAAAGATATCCAATTCACATTTTATCAAATAAGCATAGAACAAGTTCTTGTTCATTAAAAGCTACAATCTCAATCGATCATTGAATTTTGTTCGGTGCATTCAGCTCCGGGGTTTACTTTCCTTAACGGAACCCAAATCGATCCGCCCTTCTGCCATCCCTAATTGCATTGACACGCCCCGTTTATTGGACTGCGGTTGGCCGGCTCCGACTTTCCAATTGATCCGATTTATAATTGGATTTGCGTTTGCCGATTGGAAAAGCGAAGCAGCGGCGGCGGCAGCAAAAGAAAATACCTTTCGAAACCGACTCCAGCACCTTATATGGATCGAAGAGCCGATTCGTGATCAATCAGCTGATTCATTAGCCCCAATTTAGTTGGTCAAGGTTTGGCCGCTCCAAATGTGAACGTGCTTATCGCATCAACACCTTCCGCAGGTCGATTTCCAATCGCAAATTGTTATCAGCACCGCTTGATTTCAATAAGAGACTAATGAGAGAGGGACGGACCGCAGGCCTTATAAGGAAAGCAAAGGAACCCCTATACGAGCTGAGTATGTTTGTAATAGGCGCCGATCATTAAATTAAACTACACATGTTATAGATAAGGAAATGGAATTCACTGAATCGTGTTCGCCTTGTGTTTTTTCAGCAGGTGATAATAGATTTGTTTGTTTTACATTCTATTGAAATTTTAATTGCCGAGGTATATACAAGGAAACCGCAAACAACAAAGGAAACTTTAAGTATGATTTTGATTTAAAATTTAAAATACCTTTCGATGAGCTCGTTATAATTCCACAAAAAATATTTTATGAGCAAAATTCACAATAAATACCAATCTATTATTAAACGATTTTAAAACATTTTCAACACTTATTACAATCCTAAATCTGTACAGTCCATGCACTCATTCTTAATCATAACAATTTGCAATCAAAAATTGATTTAAAATTGCTCCGGCCACAAACCAAAGTCAGCACATTAAACCAAATAATTAATGGCTTGGGTGGGAGTTTTTAGATCAGCAAACCAGTGCGCCTCAAGCTCAAGCATAACGGAAAGGGGAATAATTAGGGCTACCTGAACCATAGAATTTCCACCACATGACAATGAACTGGGTATGTCTATGGAAACATCAATAATTTTTGTGGCCGGGACCTTTGGCCGTAAATAGTTTGGAACGCATAAACATGTCCGATGTGTGCCACAATATGTGTATATGTTTTTTTGTTTGTTGTTGGAGAGTTCAGCCTACAGTTCAATAAACCCACCACAGACGCTAATTACAATACCTCGCAACAAAAACAGCGGAGGCAGCAACTAAAATTAAAATTTAACTACAAAATAATATGTGAAAACACTAAAATAGTTTTTTTGTGACAAATTGTAGAATTAATTGCACATAAAAGAGCCACAAAGGCTAATGTGGAAAGAGAGATCGCGCGAGGGAGAACTCTCTCTAGATCGCTCTGCGTAATTAAAAATATAAATGAAATGGCAATTGAAGAGCCGAAATACAAATGCCCCATGCAATCAGCTTTCTTCACGCTAAAATTAGCAGACGCCGAAAAAAACGAATGAAGAAAGGGGCAGAGTGGCTGCGAGTAGAATAAATTTTACACAAATTTTCCACCGATGAAAGTTTGCCTCTTTCATTATTTTTCGGCTCGTGTTTATCGAATCTGTTAGAGATGTTTGGCTTTTCATTTCTTGTTAGGAATTCTATTTTCCCCGAGACCCACCAACCGTGGAAAGTGGGTGGGCTGTGGGTGGTGCCCCAATCAATTTAAATAAATTGAAAAACTGCAGCTAGAAATTGAAACTGAAACTGTCAAAGCCAAATGCTGCGAGATAATTAAAAATAGTTCTTGCCGGGTTTCGATTTCGAATCTCGATTCTTGCCGATTTTCGATTCTCCCAGTTCGATTGTATTATTGGCCCAATAAACTATGCCCTTTTCAAGTTGGCCATTGGCCAATAAAAGACGACTTTTCATTGGGTGTTGAGCAGCGGTTGCCAATTAAAAATGCATGAGGCAGGGTTATGAGGCAGTCGTTCTGGCTGGCCAAGATTGATAGCCGAGTGCAGGTGGGCACAAATTTAAGTATCCAGGTGCAATTGGCGATGAAAGTGTTGGCCAATTACAGTTTTGATCAATGAATTATATCTGCCAGCGGAAACGGAAACTATATAGTGCTATTTTAAACTTGCATTATCTAAATTTATTGCTAATTTTAACTGTTTGGCCTAGGTGCATCGCCAAATGATAAATATTATATATACCTATACTTATCTAATCTAGCTGAATAATACACTGCGCCATGGTTAAAACTAAAAATCGAAGGCAACTCTAGTCCAACAGCAATTATCAGTCATTAAATGAGGCGCTCTTAGTCACTGACATATGCCAATCTACACTAATACGCATATGAATTTAATATATAATTATACATTTTAAACAACTCACCTTTAACAAGCAAATTTGCTGGTCGAAAACATTTGTGTTGGGAAGGCGAAGAATATGATTTGTTAGCTTATCGTTTTGGTTCACTGAAAACAGAAACAAGGAAAATATATTGATTAATTTTAAAATAATTAACACTTGGTTTAAAAAACTAATAAGACAAAGATCGTTAAATATGGCAAAAAACTTAAGAGTAGGTTATTTCCTGATAGCAAACAAAAAGATTTAAAAAAATTCTCTAAATTAACATTTCTTCAAGTGGAAATACTTTTTACTTGATCTTTAAATTTGTGCCCTCAGTCATGGCCAAAATACGTAATCTTTCGATCTCTGACGGTTGTGCATAATTAAGGAATGTGAATCATGTGGTTGGGACTAAACTAACACTAACATATTACTTTAAAAGTGCTCAAACGTATGGATATGGTAAACAACGAAGGTTTTCCCAGAACATTCCCGTTTTTGTTTTAGACGGCAGCACATCCGCCGACTGTCGAATTTCTGAATGTGCCAATGACATGAGGTCCATTTAGAAATATCTGTTTATGTTTACTGGCCAATATGACCCCTCCATCTCCCTCGGTGAAATTAAACATTGTCGCCTGTCAGCACATTGAATTTGCATTGGAGACCCAATGTTTTGTTCACTGCCATTAATTGGCCTTCGCTTTGACTCCGGGGTATAGAGCATGCAAATGCAATTTGTTTGGATGATTTCAATTGAGAAATTGCAACCCGCTCGTTTGGGCTGTTTGCATGGAGATTCAAATCAATAAATCGCGAAAAGTGTTTAGTCAATAAAACACTTGCAGTTCCCACAGCAAAAATGACAAGGGCACAAAGTTTACTTTGTGTTTAGTAATTCTTATATTTATTGTCAAGTGAATAAACCAGTAATAGTTTTTTTGTTTATATGGTAAGCCTTTCCCCATCCTTTAACTAAATGAACAAAATTTTTAATTATGTCACTTACAAAACTCGATCTAACCTACTAAATACATCATTTTGAATTTTATACCGAATTTATATCTAAAAGTATGATTAGAACTGTATCAACTTGTTTACTTATGTGGAAACATATTGTCGAAAGCCTAATGAACTTAATTTTCAGCATGACCTCATCAGAATTGCTTTGAATTAGGACACGAAATTCGAGGAACCCTGCTCTTATACCACCCACACAGAGTTATATTGCTTCGGGATAATCCCCAATGCTTGCCCCATTCTAAGGTAAACTTCTTGGGAAATTGAAAAACTTCTAGTTGGAAATGTAGTACAGGTTTTGTAAACATATGTGCTTACAACAAACCCCTAGAAATGGAGGAATAAATAAGTCGAGGAGGTGAGTGAGCCGTGGTAGAAGCTGTCGAAGCGTAAAAACTTAATCATATTAAGAGCTCGCAAACCGGCTCCTAAACTTGGTATAGAAGGCAAAGGGCTGATTAAACGATAGATGGATGAATGAAACGAACGGGTGAGTGGCTGAGTGAATAAACCGAGTGGTTAAATGAGCAAAGTTAATGCCTGACTGGCTGTAAACTGGAAAATCGAGGCTCGAATTAAAAACCCAAACACCGGCACAGAGGCGGGCGTAACAAAAGTAGCATGTTGTAGTTGTCTCAACTGAATTATAGACAAGCAAATTCTTATTCACCGGAGCAGCGAACTTTTGCAATGTGAAAATGCACAAATAACAAAGCAACACATCACAACAAAGGAGCTAACCCACTTGGGTCATGGTCATCGTGATGACGGCTTTGTCTGTCAGGTTTTTAATTAATAATGAAACTCCTCCTGCCCGAAAAAAGAAAAAAGCGAGAGGGGGAGGGCAGAAGAAAAGCGCTGACAACAAAAAGTATAAAATTGAAAACGAACAGTGGACACTTTGATGATGTATTTTTGATAAATTGTGAAAGTGCCTGGCCCAGACGACAGCTAATTGACGCCCAAAAACTCCCCATCTCCCACCGACCAAACCCATTTTTCCAACAGCGCCGCATATGTTATTAAAGTGGCGATAAAAATGCGATTAATAACACACAAAAGCCTATCACGTGAAAGGCCAGCAAACAAAACCAAAAAAAAACAGACACATAAACAGCGAATGCGAAAAAAAGAAATCGCTTAGGCGAGGAAAAGCCGAATGCTGAACTCTGCCTTCTGCAAAAGATAAACAATTTTATGCGCTCTCTTCGACTTCAAAAGAGCTTCGTCGATAGGCGGTATAACTAAAATAGAAGTAAAAGTAAGTGAACAAAAATGCTTGTCCTTGGCCGCAACTTTATCTAATTTGGCTGATATTTTATCAGTGTCACAACACATTGGACGATATCAATTTCCCATTTATGGGTTAATGGGGGAGAAAGGCAGATAGAGGAGTTCCTCGGGTTTCGTTTTCAGAGGGAGTAATGGTTTTATGGTTTTTCAAGTGCTTCTCAAATGAAGAAGACCCTGCATTCTTTGCCCATTCGCTTGCAATTGTTAACACATTGCGGTCATAAAAATGCACTTTATGGCACTCCAGCAACAAAGGTCAACTGCGTCGCAGTTGGTTTAAGTGCTGCGTAGGGGTTTAAAAAATGGGAGTGTTGTAAAGGGATGACAACAGTTGAAAAACACAAAATTAATCTGGACATTCTTCTTGATACTAAAGAATTATCAATTATTCTCGTAGAAGAAACAGAGGTCAACAGAGATAATTTATGTCTACTTGATCCCATATTTTTGTAAAAGGGAAAACTAGTTATATTTACACTCTGTGAACATATGCTAATGACCATTGCTATTACCATCAAGCCAAACGCCATTAACGCCTCTTGAGTACCAAAGTCCATAAATAGGGCCCCAAAGCGAAAAAGCTAATGAAAATATTTCTCACAAAGCACACACATAACAAATGTCACACTTTACACGTGCCCCCTAAAAAACGAGGTCCCAATTAGAGCCCAAATTAAATAATTTCCATAGACAGAGTCTTAAAACAAACATTCCAGCTCGATGAATTGACAAACGTCTCAAACTTTGAACATTTTCTTAAAAATAGCGTGGCCTATCTACTATCTTATCTTTGGATTTAAATACTATTTCGACCCTGCGATCGGGCCATAAATATTTATGCAGTCAAGCAAAAAGTTTAGGGCGGCATTTGCTTTTACTGGAATCCAAAGAGTGCTTTTCCATTGTTCTTGTGCTTTTTCCAGTGCAATGTCATGACTTGACGCCATCGTCTTGTCTTGGTTGCCTTGATTGGTGTAAAGAAAATTGCGCCGGCAGCAAAACGCGATCTTGGAAGTCAATGCTCCTATATACTGACGGGGTTCAACGATTGGTGATTATTCCGGCGATATTGTTATCAGAGGATGTTCGTGATTGCGACTCTCTTGGCAATTTCCATCAAAACTTCTAGGGAGTCATTTTCCTTTTAAGAGCCCTTTTATTAAAATTGTTCTAAACGCACATTTTATTTTATTTTGTCCAAAATTATAGGAAATGAATATATACTCAAAGAAATAATTGCTGTTAAAGTGGAAAAAATTTCTTTTAAATCGGAACCGATAGTTTAAAAATAGCTTTGCTGTGCTCAACAATAAATAAATCCAACTTTTACCCATTTGATTCGCTTTGTAGATGGAATTCTTTTGTAATTTGCTGCACTTCTTTGAAATAATGTCAAGGCTAATGCATCAAATCTTTGTGACCGCTTTTCGCTGGCGCGACAATAATTTTCCCTGCCTGCTCGGCTTTTATTTTTTTTTTTTTTTTGAAAACTTCGATGCTTGTCTATGTGGTGCTGCCGTACACCCTCCCCCTGACACGCCTCTTACAATGATGTCATATCACACAGTCTCAAATTGCTCCAATTTCGCCCCTTGCTTTTGACTTTGTCACGCTTTTCCCAGCGAGCGCTTTTCCACACTTGACTTCGCATTTCCCCAGATCTCAGCGCCGCTTTTTCCCACCTCAACTAATAACTTTGTTTTGTTTTTCATTCATTTTCCGTGTGCATTTCGCCTGGGCTTTGGCTTTTTTCGCAGTTGCCACTGTTTCATTTTCTTTTTGCGCCTGCCCTGGATTTCCATTTGTCGTACTTGGTTTTTGCGCCGGTTTTTCTGTCCGATTGTGAAAAGTTGTGCACTAATGGCAGCTGTGAAATGCATTTATGTTTATGGTCTAGTTTTTCCATTCTTTTTTTGTTTGCGCGGTTCTGTAGCACCTCTTAAGGGCAAACATTTATTCTTATCCTCCAGTCACATTAGTGCGAAGGCTAAGAGCAGCCGTGATGTAGCCCATCTGAGACATTATGGATGGAAATGGAGCAGAGCAGTAGGACTTAAGAACATTAAACTCTAACGATTAAAAAGTTACGAAAGATTGTATAGGCTTTGAGTTACGTTGTTCAACAACTTCATTAGCTTGAATCAATGGCTATTTAAATTAATTTAACAATTTTTATTAAAGCAAGCAGTGTATTTAAAAAAAATGTTAAATATTTTTTTAATAAAAAGTTTAATTTACTAGCTTTTTAATGTTATTTTATTTTCTAAAGTATCCGAAATTCTGAGCTTATGCGTTTATATTACCTAAAAGCTTTCAGCCCAATTAATTGATTTAAAGAGCCAGCTTTTTTTAATGAAATATATTACATTTTGAAGTTTGGTACAACTTAAATCAAAATTACCAACTACACGTGTTTGATTAATTGCTGGGCAGATGAATCAAAATCTCTAGAAATATAGATTATGCCATGTGTGAGATAATTAACATAAAATTCAGGTACGATTACATAAACATGCAAATCTTCTGGCCATTATAATACACTATTATCGATAATCGGCTTGAGACTCACCTTGATAATTTACAGATTCAGCTGGAACTGTTTGATTTATTCGAAGGGGTTTGCATATATTATTTTGGAAACGGCAAATTGCGATTATAATCGAAAAAAACAAGAGGAAGAGAAGAAGAACAAGGGGAAAGGCGATATTAGAGAGATAAAGTTGCACGCGAAAACCGGTTGCCGTTATTGTTTACACCGAATCGGAAACGGAGTTGTGGGGGCAGGCGCGAATATAGATGTCTTTTGGGGAGAAGGAAAGCATGGGTGGAAAAGGGAGGGGCGGGATAAGGAAAAATGGGAATCAATAAAACAAACACACCACGAAAAACACATGGAAAGTGCAGCACACATATGTATTTCTCTATTTTATTTCGGTTTAGTGCACAAATAGGAGAGTCCTGCTGCCATACAAATGAATCATTCGCTTTTCGATTTCGATTTCGACGAGAGATATGATATGGGAGATAAATAATATGCTGCTGCACAACCACACACACACTCGCACATACACCCGCCCCCACGCACACATACGCGCAGACGAGGCTTCACTGTTAATGTTTATTAATATATTCCAGACACGCGGATCCATAGAGGAAAATACATATTCGATTCACGGCGGCGACGGCGGAAAAAAAGAGAGAACCCAACTGAAATAAAGAACACGCGTTGGTCCGTTTCTTTGTTTTTTGTTTTTGGTATCGGCGGCGGAGTCCTATGCACTATATACACATTATATAACCGCACTGGTAGATCCGAGCATCGTTACACTATGGGGCAGACTCTATCGTACCACTTGAAGCACCCGTCACTTACACTTTTTCGCCAGTCGCTAAGATTTCGCGTCCGAGTCGTTTGATGATTTGTTTTTTAAAACGCGACGTTCGTTCCTCGGTTGTCGACGGGTGGAAACAGTGTGACCGCCTCCTGGGCGACGCGACATACCGTTAGTATGACTGTTGCATGAGTTACACCAGGTGAGTAAATATACCAAAATATTAAATAACATTTAATTAATATATATATTAAATTTATATTTATATTAAACACAAACTTTGCAGATTTAATTGTTAAAGGAATTGTTAAAGAACCTTATTGTAAAGGTTAAACATTTGTAAGCTGCATAAGTTGACAAATCAATCTCAAATGTTGAGATATTATATTAAAAACTTTTAAATAACTAAAAATATTAAATATATACACTTAAAATAACAGTGGACTCTCAACAGAATGAACATGATTAATTGTTAACTTTTCGAATGAGCTCTATATTAAAATTATATTTTCTTATTGAAGCCCACTGTAAACTTTTCTAGCACTGTTTTCGCTACTGTTATCGATAGCCGCGCTAGTTCTCCCATCGCTTTTGAGCACTCATTCCGTATATAAATATTTTCCGGCTTTTTTATTTGGAATGGTAAGTGTATGATTATATGTAGCATGTAGCATTTTCTTAACGACCAATCCTCCGCCAGTTCTCTCTGCTGCACAAGGAGGAAAACGCGCACGAAAATGCGCTGTGGGCCTGCACCTGGGGCCGCGACACCGCCGATCCGGATCCGGATGATGCTGGCACGGAGGCGGAAGAGGAGAATCCCTTCGATTTCGACAAGAAGGAGGCCCGTCCCAAGGATTTCATTGTGACCGGTGGGCTGGACGACTTGGTCAAGGTGTGGGATCTACGGGAGGACAACACCTTGAAGCTGCGCCACCAGTTAAAAGGACATGCTCTGGGAGTCGTATCCGTGGCCGTGAGTTCCGATGGACAGAGTAAGTTGAAAGATTCCATACGTATAAGTTTCCAAATCGAATCTGTTATTTGATTCTTTTTAGAAAGAATCACTTTTTACCAAATCATTTTTCAAACTCTCCTTTATTCTAGCCATCGCCAGTAGTTCGTTAGACTCTAGTATGTGTTTGTGGGATGCCCGATCGGGCGACAAGAAACACCTGCTAAGCCTTCGGTCCCGTTGATCTCTGGACGGTCGGATTCTCGCCCTGCAACAAATACGTGATATCTGGATTAAATGATGGCAAAATCTCTATGTACAGCGTGGAAACGGGGAAGGCGGAGCAGACACTAGATGCCCAGAATGGCAAATACACACTGAGCATTGCCTATGTAAGATCTACCTGATATAAAACACAATCTGTTAAGCCTTCACAGTACGTTATTTTCAGAGTCCGGATGGCAAGTATATAGCTAGTGGAGCAATCGACGGCATTATCACCATCTTCGACGTGGCGGCGGGCAAGGTGGTTCAAACTCTGGAGGGTCACGCCATGCCCGTTCGCAGCCTTTGCTTCTCACCCAATTCCCAGATGCTGCTCACTGGTTCCGATGATGGTCACATGAAGCTTTATGATGTGTAAGTGATATCGCTTTTTAAACGTATTTAAATTTCCAGATTTAGCAATCTTTAAGCACGGAGTTGGGGAAATACTTAATCTGAAGTAATTGAATTCATTATCCTACAGAATGCTATATTTGTTTTAAAAGGCGTCTAAGTAAAAATATTTTAACAAGCCAAACGATGCTATATCTGGGATTAGAAAAACCATAGAACACCGAAAAGTTTCTAATAAAATCAAATTATTTCTTCACAGGACACATTCGGATGTCGTAGGCACCCTCTCCGGTCACGCCTCCTGGGTGCTGTGTGTGTCCTTCTCCGAGGACGGAAAGCACTTTGCCAGCTCCTCCAGCGATCGCACCGTAAAAGTGTGGGATACCTCTGAGCGCAAGTGCCTTCACACGTTCGCCGAACACTCGGACCAAGTTTGGGGCGTACGCTATAGTCCTGGCAACGACAAGGTGGCCTCCGCCTCCGAGGACAAATCCCTTAATATCTACTTCTGTCCGCCCAATGCCATTGTGTGATTCCCGTTTCGTACAATAAAGCGTAGGTTTAAAACAAAAAACAAGAGTGCTTTATTTACGGATTGCCCTCCGAGTTGGATTTAACCCTCAGGAGAGGCTGTGTGGCCTGTGTCAGCAGCGTGTCCTTGTACTTCTGATCAGGTATATACATATTAAATGTTTTAAAGTAATGAAGGATGTTTTCTGGAAAAGAAAAAGTAAGTCTGGGGTATTTTGGGTTTCTCTTCAGAAAATCTCACCAACAAGCGGCTCCTTAAGTTTGTAATCATTGGCTATTTTTTTGGCCGGCCAGGATTCCGGATCCAACTGGTGGTCATTAATGAACTTGAGTGCCTGCCGCAACGTGCAGTGTCCGGGGCTGATGCGCGTGGGCTCCAAATAGCCGTACTCGAAATCATCCGGCGTTTGTCGATCCAAGGGCAAAGCTCGCTTCTCCACTTGGTCTGCTGCGGCCTCCGCTGCCTGTCGCTCCTGGACTCGCTTGATCTAGGAAATGTAGGGAGATCACACATCAGTATTTGTCTACATAGCTCCCTCTAGCCTTAACCCACAAATCGATCCTGCGAGGTTACATAAACGTCTTTCAATCGCCCGTCCAAGCTAGAGTCCTTCAGGTTTAGCTTGTCCACGAACCTGGGATCCACTGTAGGGTAAAAATCAAGCAATTATATGTCGGAAATCGTGACATGGGTCTAAAAACCACTCACATTCCAAGGTGCGCTCCATGTCCCTCAAATTGGAATCGAATTTGGGCGCCGGTGTGGGTTTCTCACGTTCCAGAATGCGATGGGCGCGATTCTCAGCATTGAAGCGATTTGCCCGGCGGGCCACCATGGAAAGCACCTGACCCATCCCAAAAATAAGTTAGTTTTAATTTACTTCGCTTAAAATTCACGTGAAATCGTGGAAACCGAAAAAAATTTGCTCCGTAAACATAACCAAAAAAGTGTTGGATAATGTCTGAGAGCAGCCAGCTGTGATTTGTTTTTGAATCAGCTGTCTGGGCTGTTATCGATTAGTGTTGCAAAGCACTCGCACAACTGTTGCTTGTAAACAAACGGAAAGTTTTCTTTTATTTGGATTTGTTTGTTAAAGATCTCAAGAAATGCTGCCCCTGCGATGCAGTTGGTCTCTGGCGCGGGCCAACTATAGCACCAAGGCCAGAAAGGAGCTAGTGGCCCGCTATAGCGACGAATTCCCGGAGAAACTGCTCACCCGGAAACACAAGATTTCGTCTCACATGTACGTTGCGAATGCGGAGGCTGCCCAGAGGATTGGCCAGCATCTGGAGCCCCATTTTCAGAGCTCCGGTTGTGATACTGTGATGGAACTGAATTCAGGGGCGGGACACTTCACCCGGCATCTGTTGGATAGGGAATCTCAGTTCCGGCGGATACTCCTGCTCGAGAGCATGGATCACTTTATGCCCAAACTCCAGGAGCTTCATGCGCTGTATCCGGAACGCGTAAAGGTGCGGCACGGGGATTTTGTGAACCTGTGGAAGTTGGTATACATGGACAAAATGGACGGAGGCTCCAGGGTAGCCGATTTGCTCCATGATGTGCCCCAGAAAGACTTCAAGGATGGTACGCATATATATACTCCTTTTAAACCATTCTCAACCATTCTTTCCGGCAGATATCAATATGCTGGTCTTTGGCGCTGTGAGCTCATATCCGTTCTTCAAGCATTTGATCAACTCGCTCATCTTCCAGACCAGTCTTTTCAATCTCGGACGCTGCGAGATGATCCTCGTAATGCCGCCGCCCATTTACATAGTAAATAGTTTATTTTAAATCTCAAGGATCGATCACTTTAATCACACACTTCCATTTGTCAGCACCTCACTTGCAACAATGAAATTGGTTACCTTATCTACCGCTCGACGAGCGTGCTCTTCCAAATTCTCTTCGAACACCAGTTTATAGCCAAGGTGCCACGCGAGGATTTCCTGCCTCAGCAAACGCCCTACAGTCCAATTAAGGGTAGCAAGTTGGTCAAAGTGCGGTCCATCAATCCGGATTATCTGTATCTAGTGAAGTTTTCCCCTCGCCGAAATCTTCACGAGCTATGTCAGTCTCAGGACCTTCCCGCCCTCTGGTTCTTTATAAAGCAGAACTTTGTCAGCCGCCGAAATCGAATAATCCCCAATTTAGAGTAAGTAGCCTAACAAAACATTTCTACTATTAATTTAAGCCTGTTATTTCTGCAGGAAATGGGTGCCCGGCTGTGGACCTCGGCTGATCATCAATCCGCACACCTCAGAGCCCGTGACACCTACTTATCCGATAGAATTGCCCAAGAAGATGCCGCAGTATTCCTGTCAGAGTACTACCATGAGCACCAGAAACTTCTATCCGGGTATCAACATCTACACCCAGTTTGGAGATCTCCAGCCCAGTCAGATGCTGACGCTCTTTAGTCAGTTCCGTCATTGGCCGGAATACGCCGAGAGCTCCTTCCTGGCCTCGCTTGAGAACGCGCTGCTTAAGCTGGAGACTCCCAATGACGAACCGAACCTGGAGGACGGTGTCACGCTGCCAGAGGAGGATGACGCCGAAGCGGACGAGATGCTCGAAGAAGAAAGCCCCGAACCCGCAGCCCCTCCCACCAAGAGCCGGAAGAAAGCCAGCTCCTAGTTTTCTATGGTACAAAAGCTGCGTGGAACTTATGTACTGAATTGAATTCTCTAGTGAAATCAAATGCCTTGATTGTTGGTTAATTTTGCCACTCAACAAGTACTGTTAGCTGTTGTAGAAAACATTAATTTAAATACAAGAAAAATTCACATTAAAATGAGTCTTTAATCCAAAAATCATATAGTACCTGTTGTAAACATTAAACAAATTCGAAATTTTTCACTGGGATCTACAGCACCAAACAGAACACAATCATAAGTACTTAATCGTTAATCATTTAAAATCTTGTGTTATCCTCTAGGCGCATTTTCCTTGGGCCAAAAGGCGACTGCCGCGGGAGCACTTCTCGGCCAGCTCGATGTAGTATTCCGGCGGAGCCGTCTCTGGGGTGTCTGAAATTCGTGTCTCCAGCTGCACAGACAGTTTGACACAGTCCACCATCAGGTTGAAGGGATTCACGCCCAGCACGAAGGTTGCCTCCTTATAAGGACATGGATTCTCATCGTTCTTGGTGTTGCCGAACTCGTAGCAGGTGTCGCGGATCATGAAGTGCCCGTCCCGGTTACACGGATTGCGCACGCACTCCGGTATGATTTTTTCCTTATAGAGCACCAGCATCTGGCCAGGCTCACAGGGTCCCTGCCTGTAGGCTGGATAGCACCCATCGGTCTCTGGGTAATACAATGTGGCTGTCGACGGGGGAAGAACCCAAACACAGGTAATTATTATGTCATCACATCGGTAGCTCCATTATGGCTGCTCACCTGGCGCGCAGTCACAGACCCAATCGTTTTGCTTCTGCTGGTCCCCTGGATAAAGAAGCTGGTGCTTGGGGCATCGGGCTGGGGAGTAGAGTGGCTTGCGACCCTGGAGAAGAGCGGAAATCAGAGGAGATGACGATGAGGTCTGATTGATTATTGCCAATGCGTCTGTCATACTCTACCGAATAGTCTTACCATTTTGTACAGTATTTTGAAAGCTTTTTTCCAAAAACCTGAGCAGTTACGTTTTTTGAACATTAAGTTTTTAGGCAATACAAACCATTAATCTTAATCTCTTAGTTAAAAATTCCGTTTGCTTAAGGATAATCGACTTTTAAAGTTAGTTTAAATTAAGTTTAAAGTTTCTACTTTGATATTGAATAACAAATTACAAGTGGAATCGCCGATTTATTAGTAAAAAAGGTTAATTTAAAATGTAACAGCCCCCACACATCTGACTGTATAACTGAACCCTTTTTTTTACGACTATAGGAATCTTTTTTTTATGTTTTGGAAAATTCCTACACTCTGGACAGATCTGTCCACGATTTCGTTGCTTATCGAGAACTTATTATTATACATTTATAGTTATATAGAATTGTAACTCAAATTTCTCAGTAAATACGAGTTCCCGCTTTAATAATTTAAACGGGATTTTTATTTATCTAAAAGCTATTATGGGAAAAATCTAAATTTCTGGTCTTAGTTTCTTTAGTAGTCTGATTGGGAAGGGTATAAAGTGCTTGGCAATGTCCAATTGGAACTTTTCTCTCCCGTTTCGGGTCTTCTTATCACGGTACATAACTCCGATCGTCTCGGTTTGTTTCTGGCTGCAGCTTACCGCAAGGTTGGCCTTCTTCTTATCAATGTCTTGATCCTCGACAAAGGCAATTTGGGCGCGTGCCACTTTCCCAATAAGCGCAAAGAGCACGGCGATCAGCAGAAGTCGCGGATTTATATTGATCATTGTTCGATCTCTCGCTCTCGCTCTCGTCTCTCTGTTATGATTAACGGGTATGCAAAATCGACAATGCCGACGGCTTTACAAGATAACACAACGCGACTTTCCTCGGTTTCACTTTTCACATCCGCTTACTACCAACGGTGGCGAAGATCGGCTCCAGACTGTTCAGATCCGCTCTTATTAGCTTCCGATCCGATCCAATCAGCTCCGGCTAGTGGTGCAAAAAGATCGATGCTTACAGGGCTTATCGATTACTCTTAATTAAACAAAAATGTGTCTGATTGGGTTTTATTGATATTGAAGATTTCTTAACATTTAAAAAAAAATATTTTAATTTTTTCCTTTATACATTTTTAAAAAAGCAAGAGAGCTATATCAAGAGTGAACATTTTTGTATGTAACAACACAACAAAGCAGTAAATAACAATTATCATTAATCATTTTTTTTCAAAGTGGTTTTATTGTTTTATAATGCTTAAGATATTGATTATAATACCCAGAGTTTAAGGAACTACATATTTTTTATTATAAGAAATGTGCTTTAATCTTATATTGCGATTTCGCGGCTTAACTCTAAACAAATTTGAAAATCTGTGGCGCTACCAGCACTGGCCGCCTATCGTTATCGTTGTCTCTCGACAAACGGTCACTCTTCATATTTTCCTTTGTCAAAATAAATAGTAAATAAATAAAAATTGAATTCACCTGGAAAACGAAGAAACCACACGAATATAACGGCTCAAATGGAAGACGAGGAGACCTCAGGTGGGTGTGGTGACACCAAGCTACACCAGTTATCCACTTTACTAACATGTTGACTTTCTTAAATTGCGCAGAAATCAATTCTGTGCAGGGGGAGGACGAAACGGCTGAGTTAAGAATACCCTCTGTCCAGGAGCTTCTAGACAACGTGGATGACCTGGAGGAACCTGTACACAATCCATTAGATCCGCTGGCCATCGAGGGAGGCTTGGATGGGGGGCTGGGGGTCATAGATGAGGATGTTCCGGAGGACACCGCGAGCGAGGGCAGTCATCCCAGCAGCGACATGTCCCTTGAAAGTCCAGGCAGTGAAGGTGGGTCTACCTAGTTCGTTAATTCCCGGAAATCCCTTTACAGCACTGCTTTCTCCACCCAGATGACTCCGATCTGGAGCGCCTTCCCCGCTGGATGATCCCCCAGAACCGCCTGCGTTCTGCCGTGGACATGATGGTATCGCAAGCCCGCAACCGAGATGGCGGAATCGCAGCATTGCTCAACCGGGACAACTTCCTGCAGCGCGTGCGCAGCATGGTCTTTAGCCAGGAGCGTCAGCGAAGTCGCACCAGCGAGGACACCAGCCAGGAGGCCACCGAGCAGTCGGACGAACCCCCACCGCCGCCGCCATCTCGTCCCCAGATCGACATAGAGCTGGAAAGGGCCGTGCGCTTCGACACCAACTTGCCGGCCGAGCACTCGTACTTCGGCAACCATTTGAGCCGCGTACCCGGCGTCGACTACTTGGAGGTGGGCAGCACCCATCACATGCTCATATTCCTGCACCAGCACATCCTGTTCCCCGGCGAGGTTCTGCCCTTCATGCTCGACGACCGAATGTTTGACGAGGATATGCCCGGCCTGGATGGCCTAATCTTCGGCGTGGGCTTTCCGCATATGCAGCCGCCGGATGACATCCCGCACAAGCTATATGGGGTTACGTGCCAGATCTACGAAAAGGGCGAAAGCGGCAGGGAGTTGATGTTCTACAAATCCCGAGCACTACAGCGCATCATCATCAACTGCGATGATATCCAGGGGTGAGTGGATCAGCAGTCCACATTTTAAATACCATTTTAATATCCCCAAATCCTTTTAGGCCGCCGCAGTATATTGCCCGCAATCCGACAAGCAAGTGCTTCAGCAAAGTCAAGATATTGCCGGAGTACTTCCTGCCAGAACCACTTCAATCCGTTGAAATGGGTTCGATGGCCAGGTTTCGGGATATACCCTCGATGCGAGACAAGTACCGCAGATTCCAGCTTGCCAGCACCCCTTGGCCGGCTGATGTCTGCCAAGAGTATTCATTCGATGCCATCGTTAAGCGCGCACGTCAGAGGCTAGAAGTCCAAAATATAGACACCATGCCAAAATGCCCCATTCAGTTGTCCTTCTGGCTGGTGCGAAACCTCCACCTAACCGAAAAGATGATGCGACTGACCTTCCTCACGGACTCGGTTAACACTCGCCTCCAATTGATCAAGAGCACGTTCAAGGAGGAGTCGCTCTTCTTCTGCCGATATTGCAACAGCAGTCTGGCCCACTGCGCGGATCTCTTTGCCATGTCCAAACACGGTGTTCAGACGCAGTACTGCAATCCAGGTGAGGGCTTAGTTTTAATCCAAGTCCGTAGAAGGGCTTAGAAAACCACATTTAGATGCAAATAGTCAGGGTTCATAGATAGCTTTAAACAGTAGATTGTCTTTTGCAGAGGGCTACATCCACGAGACGAACACCGTTTACCAGGTGATGTCCCATGCCATCGGCTACAGCGGCGAGCCATCCACCAAATTTAGCTGGTTCCCCGGATACCAGTGGCACATCATACTGTGCAAGTTTTGCGCTCAGCACGTCGGCTGGGAGTTCAAGGCGGTGCAGCCCAACCTGGCGCCCAGGGTCTTCTTCGGCCTGGCTGGTTCCAGTGTGCGGATTGGAAAGGCCAGCGAGAACACGCCGGTCAACGGCAGCACCTACGTGGTGCGCAACATGCTCCGGCTGATCTCCAACGAGATGGAATGAGGCTGGCGCGTCGTGAAGCGATTTATCAGTGGCCAACTCTGCTGCTGCCGTCGCCCGGAAAACAATGCGGGACCTGCTTAATTCGTTACACAACCAGACTTAGCAGAAACCACGGCAGTTGTTGGGCGTGTATGTAAGCCGAAAGATTGATTTACATATGGTTGGAAATATGTTCTTTAGTTCAAGTAAATTATGCCTAATTGATATTTAAGATTTTTGAAACTAAAGTCTCTCTGTAATAAGTTACTCTTAATATTTGTTTTTTATTATTGTGGTGGGCTTGTGATGCGATATTCCTTTATTTAGTCATTCAAAAGGGCCGCAAACGAGGTGGAGAGTTTCTGCCAAAGATCAAGCATGCAAATTTATGACAATGTAAAATTGGAAACGGATTAGGACCACTTACTGCCTTGCAAAAGGGACATAGGCCAAAGGAGACCTCCAGGAAGGTCTTGCCATCCATAAGCGTGGTAAACCACTCCTTCAAGCAGGCAGCATGGCACTTGAGCACACATTTGGCATTGTCGCAGGACACGAGGGGCACCTCACCGCCATCCAGGCGATAGACAAAGCAAATATTGCAGCGCAGTTCCTCATTGTCCTCCTCATCCTGCTTGGGGCCATCAGACCAGTCTGGCATGGGGAAGAAGCACAGGTCGAAAATCCGGAGCAGGTTTTTGTGCATGTCCAGTTCTGAGTCCCAGTTGCCCAGCCCATCGCTGAGAACGTGGCGCAAGTGGGCCACCTCTTCCGTGGGTCCAATGATCTTTAACGCCATAGATGATATGCAGGCGAAGGGATCCCCAATGGTAACCTTCAAATAGACTCGATTCTTGAGCGGAAACACTCGTGAATTGTGCTTGGTGGTGATGGGCGATGGTTGCAGTACATGGCACAGCTCATCGATGTCCATGAAGTGTTCGTAAAAAGGACGTAGCTCCTCAAGCACTTTGAGGAAGAGGGTCAGGGCTTCCTCCAAAGTTCCTGCGCTCTTGGTCAGCATTTCCCCAAGCGACACGCATTCTGGCAGGCTATGATCCAGCAGGCGCAGCGAGGGAACCTCCAGCTCCAGATAGTGATGCTCATAGTCGGAGAATTCGCTGAAACGCAGCCGGGAGCAGGCCTCATCCATTTGCAGGCGGTACTCGTTGGGTTTGTGCAAGGCCAGGATATCGGAGTATATATTGCCCTCCGGCATTTGTTCCTTAACAGCGGTTAATACTTCTGTGGCGGGAAGAATCTGAGCCAGATTAGCCAAAAAGTCCTCCAGAAGCCACCCATCCTGGACCTTCAGATTGTCCGATGTATATCTCTTGTACTCCAAGTGTTCCTGCACATATAGCTGGAAGCCATGTAGAGCTGGGTGTTGAGGTAAGTAGAGTTTAAGGCGCCGCCAGGTTCCCTGGATAAAAAGATAAACATTAGTTTGGCGGGAGCTATTGCACTACTGCCCACTCACCTCACTGCACATAACTCCTCGTATAACGCAGGCTCCGCTCGGCTGAAGCTCCGCCACTAAGCCAGGGTACTTCTCCGCCAAGAAGCGTTCCACATCTCCATCACCTTTGTCCATTATCTTTTTTATTGTTTACCTTTTTTGAACCTCCAGGGCTAGAGATGACCTGTTATCGATGACATCGATTGTTCCAATCGAGATCGATCGAGCGCAATAATCGCCGGGTAATTTAAATCTGCATACTTTACCGAATTATGTTTATAATTAGAAATTGATTAATCCGAGCTAAGGGATTTTCCCCCTTCGTTTACATATTTCCCATATAGATGCATTGTTTACCATCTATAACATTGTAGTTTCGTTTCTCCCGGCTTATCAGCCAAATTTACGTTATTTACTGATTGGATTTGGCGGTGTTTGCTCTTCGTCAGAGCGCAACACCTGCAGGCCTCACTGTTTTCTTTTGTAACACCTGCGTGGCGGCCCCGTATCAATAACCGCCGAGCCTGATAAATAGCTCTCTCGAATCGTTGGTCATCGCTTGGACACGGGCTATTTAAGGTTCCCCACCGACCCCATCGATTCCATTCACGGCTGTCATCTGCGTGCGCGCGTACCTAATACCTTTAATTATTCTTGACAAAGATAAAAGAAGCTTCTCCGTTATAAAATGCTCCAAATCGTTGTAACTTTGGCTTTAATTGTGGCTTCAGTCAGTGCCACCAATGTACAGCAGTGTAAGTAGCTTAGTTTCTTTCATTCGGTCACTAGGATATTTTAAGCGGTGGATTCAAGCTTTAAATAAAAGAAGATTCATGGTTTAAAAGGTAATCCTCGGCTGGTGATTCATTTCACAGACTTTGTCTCATACATTATATCTGGGAAATGCCAGAAACTATTGCCAAAAATACTTTTGAGTGAAATATAAAAGTCCTCAAGAATATCTGACGGCCAGGTGATAGGGCTTATCAAGTAGCACCTGCTAATCTCCAGAGTTGTTTCAAAAACCATAGTCTACTTCTGAGCTCATCTGTTGAATTTATTTTTAGGCAAGAACAAACCGTTTCCACTGGAAGTCAGAATAAAGGACTGCGATGAGCCGCCGTGCGTTGTGTACAAAGGCAGCATTGCCGTCATGGAAGTTCAATTCCTGGGCAGTAAGTTGGGCGATTTATCCACTTGTATCAACTTTGTTCTTACCTTTATGATTTGGCAGATAACAATAATATCAGAAGCATCACAGCCACCACAACGGCCAAGGTTTTTGGTATGAATCTGCCATATGTCCTTCCCGATGAGGTGTCCAATGTGTGTCAAAACCTTCTATATGGCGCCATGTGCCCCATTGACAAGGACGAAGATGTCACCTACGAGTTCAACTTCTACGTGGATCCTTCGTTCCCGGAAATCACGGCGGATGTCACTGTCACACTGAACGATGCCCAGAACGAACCGATCACCTGCTTCGTCGTGAGCTGCAGGATCCGGAAGGGAGCAACTGCTTCGCAGCGGGACGAATATCTACTGGACTGGACGAATCCCATTTCCGAATAAACAGACGATGTACACAGCACCACCGATTTAGGCCGACTGTTTATTCCCCCTTATTTGCCGAACAATAAACTCAAAACTCTTGCAGCGATAGCCGTATTTGTTTACTTTCGCTACGTCACGGATTCCAGTGTACCCGTACAATCAGTCTACGGATTAACACATTTCTCGGCACGGCGATTAGATATTCCCGTGTACTTATTTATATACAGTCATCGGTGACGATAATATTTGCACCGAAAATCCAGTAATTTATTTCCACTGATTCAACTGCGGAATGGCCAATAAAATCGTGCTGATAATCATTTATTGACCGCTCGTAGATCCCGTTGACCATATGGTCAAAAGTTGGGCTCTCCTTCATGGTAAGGCGATAACCGTCTTGCTGGGTGCAACTGTACACTGAGGACTATGGGGTAAAAAATAGTTTATGAATGTTATGAAATTAAGTAATTTAAAACATAATTATAATGAGAAGCCTTTCCAAAAACGTAATCTTTTATGGGACATTTTTTACACAAAATGTCTTACAAAAATGTGTTTAACTTCGGACAAACTTTAAGATTCAATCGGTGTTTTAATATTATATTTAATTTTGGTTCTGTTTTATATTTATTAATTGAGTACATTTTTTTTAAAGTGAAAAATCTAGTTACTATCAATTTCTTTAGTGCATATTAAGAAATATGGTTTTAGGATGTAAGATGTTTATGATGTGCATATATTTTAGTATATTCAATAAACAAAACAATGGAAATAATAAAAAAATGTAAACTTTTAATGGACCCGTTCTACATGACAAATAAACTAATCTTGAACAAAAGTTCCCAAATCTTTTTATAGTGCACAACGTTTGAAAATAAATCTGATAATCTTGGTGATTTGCTGGATTTTGAAAAAGGGGCATCGATAAGCAAGTACATTTCTCTTCTTCTTCGCATCGCGTCCGAACAGGTGTGTTAGGGTAATCAAACTTGAGATTTGCAAGTTTATATTTGATTGTATTATAGCCTGTCGACCACTTGAGTTTACACCTTAATGACTGCGTGTGCAGATAGCGCCGATGGCCAATAGAATGCTTTGTAAAAATGCCAGACGACGAGTTTGTTTTTGTTTTGCTTAACCCAAGAGAAAACGCATAAGATGTACTTAGCAAACCACCCTCATATGTTGGGGTAAAGCTTTTAAAATTTTATTAAATATTCATGAGACATCTTGGTTGAGCTCAGCGATGGATTTTGAAAAAATAGAATGGTATATCACAGTAATTTAGGCCAATTGATGAATGAGTTCGCCCCAACATTAGTTGAGATTGTCCAGTTGATTTACTGAATTGCCGCCATTGCCTTTGACCACCTTGATGTCGCAAACGAAGCACGTGGCAGTCTCCCCATCCTGATCCACCAGATAGATTTCGATCTTAACGCCAATCTCGGGGTATTCCCCGATGGGAAAGCTGAACAGGTAGGAGACATCCTCGGTGTCGTAAAGCGGGCAATAGGCGCCGTACTGAAGATTGGGGCAGACGGCAGCGACATCCGCCGGCAGTTCGTAAGGCACCGTGATAATCCCGAGGGTGGTGGCCTTCACCAGGGTCGTCAATTTGGTGATGTACTTATCCACGGCAAAGTCGATCTCGAAATCCTGCGTCGATCCCTTGACGATTTGACAAGGCGGAGTAACGCATCCATGAACTCGCACCTCCAGCGGAAAGGGTTTATTTCCAGAGCCTAGATGGTAATAAGGTTTAATTAGCGGGGTTTTACCCTATGTTTGATTGTCAAACTTACATCGCTTCACCTCCGTGGCCGGATGCTTTTGCTGGGCCCCAGCCAGTGACAATAGTCCCAGGGAGATCAGAATAAACGTTTGGACTTGCATGTTTCTCCGCTCTAATTGCTTTCGGCCAATAGTGCCCACATCGTTTTTATAGCCAGATCCGAGGGGCTTCTCGGCTAATGCGTTCGGATTTGGCTTATCTAATCGCCACTGATTTTGTCGCACGGAAATTGAAACTGGTTTTCGGGCAATTGAATGGCAATTGTAAGTTTGGGTTTTCTCATTGCATCGAAGGTTACTGCTACAACACTTTCCACATAAGCACGAAAAAATATTAATAATTTCCATTTAAATATAAAATGCTTAGTTAAAGAGCTTTTCATTAAACTGTCTTGTTGCGCATTGTCACTTAATGGACTTTAACTTTCAATTGTATTATATTTCACATATACTCTAACGGAAAATTACTTACTATAAAAAAATAAAACCTGTGAGCTTTAGATGATTAGTATCCTCTTAAACATTTGTTACAGATTATAGAGCTAGGCTGTTGTCAACATTAAAATCATTTTTAGTTTGCCTACTTGTTGGCCTTAAATTATCCGAGCAAACTAATGGAAATATCTTTATAAATCACACAGTAACCGCAGAATTTAACAAAATTGTACAGATCTGAAGATGAAATAAGCAATTTTAAAGGATATGGGGATTTTTCAAATTAAAACCAAGCTACCCTCTAATTAAATATATACAAATTACCCATTGAAACGATAGCCCTTATCTGCTTAATCGAATAGAGTATTTCCCAATACAAATCCCTACATCTATTCGCATCATTAGAGTCGCATTCGCAGGCATTGCGAGTGGATCGGAAAATTATGAAATCGGGCAGCAGAAATTTATCACTTCATCGGCGAGTTCATGGCACCCAGGACTCGGGCACAAAGGCAGTGGCAGTGCCAAAATAAATCCCAGAGCACTCCGCAGGCAGGCCACTAAGCCTGTCGATGGCAATGGAAAAACCCACAGACATTTGTGCCCCGGCCAAAGCCACTGACAATGGAACTTTTGCGGGGCAGGAAAATGTGCGAGCATAAAAGAAACGGACTAAAAGTAAGCTGGAAAATATAATTCCCCCTCCAAGACCCCCGCCCACCCTGCACTCAACGGTTTGCGAATTCGCCAAAGGTAAGAATAGCGAGGTGAGCTTGAAAAGTTATGTGATTTCAATATGTATGTATGTTACAAAAGATTGTAAGCGAGGGGAAACAAATATAGTTAGAAACTATATGAGAAACCATTTCTTCTAATCCGAAAAAAGCACCAAAAGTTAAAGGAGTATTTTCAGGTTTGTATACATATTTATTTTTGGGGGAAAATTCACGGAGTAAGTGTTTTAAAACAATAGAACGTGCTATAGGAAGCACTTATTTTTATTTAATAATTAAAAGTTTTTTTTCAGATAGTAAAGATTTTTTTGTCGGAAGAAGGAGTACAAAGAAATTTTTAACAGCTGTATGTTTTAGATGGAAAAGCTCTGGGTAAAATAAAGACTTGTCACTTAAAACATTTAACAAATTACTTCCACTTCTTTTGTATTTATAATTTGTTTTCCTGCTTAAAGCATTAATCCATTTTTCGCGCAACCCTCGCCGATATTTTGCAACATTTCGGATGGTTGGTGGTGACTTGCCATGTGGACAGCCGCAGCGCAGCATGAGATTTCCTCAAAATGCTTTTGAACATGCCACCCTCCCCCACTTTTTTCTCCCAGGAACTGTCGTAGCTCCTCACATGTAATTGTTGTGACATTATTTAATATGTCAAAGCAATGGAAAATCCTGCACGACAAAAAATATCCCGGACATACAGCCCGAAAAGTATCTTAGGGAACCGCAATATTTGATTAGCATCAGCCGGAGTCCTGATACATTGATTCCTGGATTCTATTCTCGGTGTCATTTAATGCAATTATCTGGGCCGGAAAATCTGATATCCGAATACTTTCGCAGCCAAACATTTTCACTTACAACGGTTTCCGTTTGCACTTTTGGGTGTTCTCCATTTTTGCATATTCCCAAATGTATTTCACGGATATTTGGCTTATCTTTGATGTGCCTTTTTATCGGGGAATCAATAATGTGTGGAGTGGAGGGGGAAAGGAACGAACTGAGAGTTCGATTATTGATTATTTCTTGGCGAAAAGTAGGCAACACTTTTCGGTCTCGGCCGGGGCTTACTAAGCTTTTATTTGAATAGACTGGCTATCACTAGCCCCGCCCAGAAAGTCCGCTGTCGAGCTAACTCAATTAATTTGTCAAATCAAGTCAGACATTAAATGCCAGCGCCAAAGCCAAACAATTTGTCACGCCAATCCTGTGGCCTTTCCCCTGACAACCCCCAGTTACCCAGTCGCCGGATGTCTGTTCTATTTCAATTTGATATTTGTTTGCACGTAATTCAATACCGAGCAACAAACTGACAAACTGGCGCGGCCATTGTGTCTCAATTAGGCGGCAATTTGATTTTCGTGTTGTTAATTTTTCATTAAATTTTTGGAGCTGCCGTGTGCTGTCAATTAATAACGGAATTTCCAAAGGGCACGGGCACGCCCAATTGCCCATGAACCCTGACCCTTTTCGCCCTCAACAGGTGCTGTCTATAGGGTCAGAACCTGTATTGACTAACTAGAAAAAAATTAAGGAACAAAACCTTTTCTAAAAAAGCATATTTAGTTTTACAGTTATTCTTTTGAATTTATTTTGTCTATATATATCCCCACAAATCGAAAAATTATTTCAATAGTTATTAAAAAAAAAAATTTAACGAAATTTAAAAATTTGAAAGTTAACGCCAGATTGAGCCATTTTTTGTTTTCCACGCCAATAGAATTGCAAGTAGCGCCTCCAATTAGGGGAATATTTGTGTTGAAATTGCTTAACATTCTTGTTAATATGGTAGTAGGTTATAGCCATTAATTGTTTTTACTTTAAAAAGGAAACTATCCTTTTTAAAAAACTTTGTTTCAAGCGAATTTTGTATTTTGTAGTTGAGTTTCGGTGAAATGTAGGCCTAAACAAGTCAAATTTCATTTTTGAAGCAATTGTAAAAATATAAATATTAATTTAGTGTAATTGTTAAACTAAGTTAAAGAAAAACCTCTCAAGCAAAGGGAAAGTTCGGCAACACTGGTTAGACCAACCCCTGTCTCCAATGGTCTATTTACAGAGTCACTCGAATGGTATGTAGTTGTAACTATCCAAGTGCATTCAGCTGTTTGCCTTTTAACGAGGAAAAAATCTATGATTGCTTGTGGTCAACCAGGTGACCAACTGGCCTTGAGACAATTTTTCCTCACTTTCCAACTGGAAAATTTGGGGCGGAATGGGCGAGAGCTTCTCGCCTTGGTGCACCCTTTGATATGCCCGCGTTGGAGTCTCATTTGCCAATAGCAATTTGCATACGCCGTCATGCAAAAATGTTTTTATTAAATTTTTCCAGCTTGTCAAGCCCGCCCGGGGATGCTAATTAATTGCTCAAACCCCCCGAACAGACTGCTTTGCTTTTGGCACTGTAATTAAGTGAATGCGAAATTCATGTTTCCCGAAATCAGAGGGAACATGCGTTGCAACAAGTTCGGCTGTTGAGTAATTTTCCCCCGACGTGTTGGCATTTTATTCCTTCCTCTCACCTGGCAACGCAATTCCACCTGAGAAATGTGCCCACTTCGGGCGAAAATAAGTTTGCCTAATTTGCATAAATATGTGCCAGTAGCTCTCAATTTCTGGCTACCTTCGTATAATTAAAATGTTAGCTGGAAGCCTTGAGTTACATAATTTTAGAGCTCGACCCGTAAATTTTGTTTGGCATTGATGGATACCGGGTACAAGCTTGGAATTCCAAGGAAAATGCCTAGTGGTTTCCGTAGAACTGGTAATGATTTGGCATTTGAAGGTAGATTGCCTTGAAGTGATTGCAAACGGAAAGGTTATGTCATTACAGCACTAGTTTAAAATTTAGCAGTCTTTTTGTATAAAAGTTTTCAAAAATGTTTGGGTAATTCCAATCCTGTGCTGAAAAAATAGTTGTTCATTGTAACATATTTTGCAGTTTAGGAATTTTTGGTCCTATGAAACATATACATTATCATATTCAGTTTTTTTTATCGCATGACCTAACTTTATTTAAGTTATTTATAAATATTTTTACCCCTCATAGACAACACCCACCCGAAAATTCCACTAAAAATGCATTAACGCGCAAATTAATTATAAAAATGCAAATTAAACAAACGTTTCGGCCAATTGAATTCTTAAGTCTTCGGCTTGAACCCCGAACGTTGGCAATCTTTTACTCATTTACGGAGGAACGTAAACATTTTAAAATCAATTGCTGGCGGGGGCGAAATCGCTTAGCTAATTTGCATATAAAACAGTTGAATTTGCGAACAAAATCAGGAAATATTGATGAAATTTGGGCACCAGATACACCCCTTGAAGGCAGCTGCTGTTTTCGCTCTCAAAGAGTCAAGTGGGTGTAAGAAATTGTGTAAAACTTGCTACAAATTGGCTATGCATATAAATTGATGTTAATGTACCGACGATCGACGGAGGGTTGCTATAGACCAGTGGCCCAAAAGTATGCTACGAGTGGATAATGGGGATAATGTGGACAATGCCGCAATCTCGTAATCTCTGTTGCCGAGTTTACTCCACTAAATTATCGCTAATCGCTGGCTAAATTTAAGATTTTCTTTGGCCTGCGTGCGAATGCACCCGAAATGGTCAAGAACACAACAGGTGTTATGGTTGACCACCCTGAGTAAGCCAAAATGTGCACTCAATAGGTTTAGGTGTACTGGCTACCAAAACATTTCTGCTAAATACGGCTCCTTCTTCGGTCATGATTTATTTAGGTCTTTGGGGAACCATAAGAGCAATTTTCTTTCGTTGATTTACCACAATTACTATCTCAAGAGCACGATTTATTTCATTAGAATATTTTAATCAAATAAAAATAGTTTTTACGAAATTGATAATCGGAAACATTAACAAGTATTGATACTGATCAAAACTATGAAGTTGCCCACTTTGATTTTTTTATTAAATCTATTCTAAATACGATTGAGACGTAATATAATAGCTACGAGCACTTCTTATAATTATTTATCTCAAAAGAGTATTTCATGTTATATTGTTACCCACCAAAAATGCTCACGTTTTTGCAAGTACTTATGGTGTTAATTTAATTTTTAATTCTAACATATGCTACAAATGTTCTTAAGAACCCTCTAAGTGCGATTAAAACGTAATAAGTGCCACTAAACTAACAAAATCAAACCTAATTTTGGTGCAAACGTTCAAAGCCCAAATGCGATTAGATTAGGTGGTGAGTGCAGAAGAACCAAGTTGGCCACATTTGGTATAAATACCCAAGCGATTAGTGAATCTGGAATACAATACCAAAAATACCTTCAATCTTAACACAACTCAGCCATTGAAAAGCCAAGAAAATGTCCAACTTCAAGAAGTTCTGCCTGTGCCTTGCGATCCCTCTGATGTGGACTTTTGTAGCAGCCAACACGCCTTTTAGACAATGTGAGTAAGGCCCAAGGAAACCCCTCATTTCATTTATTAATTCAATGTGATTTAAATTCCAGGTGCCGACAGCAGTTATAACCAGCCACTGATGGTGCAGATCGATCAATGTGACACCTTGCCCTGCGATTTGTGGAAAGGAACTGAGGCCAAGATCGACATCCAGTTTGTTGCCAGTAAGTAGTCAATGGCTAATGAATGACGTTTTATTTGGGTTAAAATCTATTCAATTTTGCTTAAAAATATATTTTGTATTTATAACAGTACTTGTTATACTTGTGTCGTCAAGTATATATAATATATTTTCCTTTTTTTTATTATATTTTGAAATATTGATGTCAAGTTGATAAAATTGGCCATACCTTTAAATTCCTGTCATTTTAAAGATTGCCATTGCATCTATCAATAATGAGCCTAATCTTATAACAAATAATCTGAGACAACAAATATATTTTTGCGTTTCATTTTGCCTTCATTTGAAATCTAATTTTGAAGATTAAATTTATATTGTCTTTATATTATTACATTTTTAATATTATTGATAAATTCCAAAATATTAAACTATTTTGTCATAAACAGTACCAAAAGCTCATAATACCTAACCAAATCGCAGTGATTTAACTTAGACATTTCCTTTTTTTTCCATAGCTCGCAATTCGATGAAGAAGTTGACGGCGGAAGTGCACCTGACCTCGTTGGGGGTGACGATACCCTATGACCTGGAGGCTGCCCGCGGCAATGTGTGCGGCAACCTCCTGCACGGCGCCTACTGTCCTTTGGACGCTGGCGAAGATGTGACCTACCACCTGCTCCTGCCGGTGACCACCAACCAGCCGGAGGTGCCCACTCGCCTCGAGGTGCGACTGCTGGACTCCGAGGACGGGGATCGGGTGGTGTCCTGCTTCCTGGCCGACACCCGTGTCAAGAAGCCCAGTTCGGGAGCTTAGGATGCGCTCTTGAGACGCAGATGATTAATAGATTAGGCCGAGACATTGTATCAATGCCTCGGCACTGGGCTTCGGGCCAATTATTAGCGCGTAAGCTGTTAACACTTAAGTCCCACAAACACTATTAGCAGTTATGAATAAATAATTAGGGGAAAATATTATAAATAATCGACATGAACGGCTGACTTAATTACCCGGGCACATGTGGGCGTGTGGGCCAGTCTACGCCGACTTAACCGCCCTCGGGGGCGCCGTGAATCGGCTTAATTTAATGACGCAGAAAATTACGCAGCTCTGGAGTGGGAAAATCAGGGGGGCAGAAGGTAACTAGTGGGTTGAGATCTTCGGGTGCCTTTCCCACCCGACTTTAAACTATCCAGCGCTCTATTGGCCCCCATTTACACGCACAGCTCCTATGGCTTCCTTCCGGCGCTCAATGCTAATTGGCTTTTCAACACTTTGGAGCTTCCTGCCAGTGATGGGGTCTAATGAACAAGTTCTGATGGCAGCACATATCCGACGGTTAGCTAATTGAGTCGTTGACTAGGTGGTGACATATAGCCAGGAACTTCAAATTGGTTGGCTAACGGTTTTTAGATATTTCAATATATTTCTCTGCCAATTCGCAACAATCAAAAACACAAAAAGCCAATCAGTTTGAACTTGAATGTGTCAATAAAGGACTCAGTAATAATTGCAATACTCACAAATTGTAAAAAAATCAACAACTAGTGTGGTGAAATAATTTACATACATTAAAACAACAGTTACTTTTTTATTTAAGGCAAAACAATGACTCACAATAAGCTAAAATGTTATAAACAAATACAGCTCGAACGTTTAGTCTACACGTGAGTAGGTTCACATGTACCAAGACTTAGCCAACCGAACCGATCCAATGATGTTAACAATTAACCAAATTACTTGAAATTAAATGAATTTAATGTCTAGTCATGCTGCGAACGAGTTATGGGGCTCTTCATATGAAAGGATCTCGAGTTTATTGCAAAATGGGTGTCAGTCAGTACGGTTGTGTTTTTTTGGCTTTCGCTATAATACGACTAGCAATCGAGGTGGTCGGAGATGTAAATTCCTACTACACTGAATATAGTTCGAGTTCAATGGTGAGTTATTCAATTGAAAGTTAAACTACACCAAGCTAAACTACTCATAAATTTCAGAAAGCTGTGGCTGCCATTAATAACATCCATGTTTTTGGGGAGTCGCACTTCATGAGGGTGAGGACCTACATCTACGATGACCGCTCCCATTTCGATCTAAATGTCCAGATGGTCCATGAGCTGGGCAGCAACCACCTGATCATGAACATTAAGGTACGAGTGAAGCCCGATGGAACCAATGCCTTTGTGGAACTATTCGAATTGCGACGGATCAACTTTTGCGAGTTCCTCAAAGAATACAACTCGAATCCGGTGATTCGTTTTATGTTCAAGAAAAACCTGAGGCTCAGCGACCTCATCGAGTGCCCCATACGAGTGGGAAACTATAGCCTGCTGCACGCCGATGTGGCCGGAAATATGCACACGGAAGGGATCCAGAATGGCACCTACAAGTTCTTTGCCGAAATCGTCGAAGAGATGGGCGAAATTGCCAAAGTATTCGCCCTCCAAGTCACCTCGAAAGTCAACATCGTAGCCAAGGACTCCATATGTGAAGCACATAAAAAAGTTATAGTATGTGTTTAGATCTCCGATTAAATAAATATATGAAAATAATAAAATTTGGTGTTGGGTAAATATTTCAGGTCGTTTGTAGTTTTTAGAATTTTTTTAGGCGCTGACTTTATAACTGAAAAAAAAATAACTGAGTGGCAGTAATATCGTAATATCTCACAAATTTTTATTTATTTTAATATGGTTTTTCTTTCTATTTCTTAATACCGACAGCGCGAACTTTAAAGTTATAGTCTCGGAATATTAAATATTACCAAATATATTATGGTTTTTAAAAAAAATGGGGTATGCAGTGAATAAAATACAAGTGGTGTTTGAATAGCTAAATATATTTACATTTTCTACATATTTTAGTAATAACCTATGTATTCGGATTTTTAAAAATTCACTCAATTACGATGTTAGTTTTTCAGCTACGGCAGCATAAAAAACTGGAATAAAAAAGACTCGGTCACGAAGGGGTTAATCAAATGGAAAAGTTGATAATAGGGTCGTTTATTAAATGGCTGGCATTAAGCTCCGCCGGTGGATGGACCATGACCACCTGATGATCGCCACCTGATGTTTGCTCTCATTGCGAAATGAACTTCGTTCGGCTAGCATTGTTTCTCGCGCTTTTTCAAATAGTCAATGGCAACGCAACGAGTTCAAAGTCCTTGTGGGATGACGACGAGGAGGAGCAATCTAAGGTATAAAAACATTCCCCAGCGAACGATCTACAGTTTGCCACATTGCAGAAACCCATATTCCGCATCCATCATATCAACATCTTCGGGGACTCCCGCTATATGAAGGCGTTGTCCTACATCGACGAAAGTCGCACCCAATTTGGTCTCACGGTTTCGCTTCGCGAAGAGTTGGGCAGCAATTTCCTGACCTTCAATATAAAGCTGAGGGCGCGACCGGCTGGAAGGGTGATTTTCGTGACCCTGTTCCAGTTGAGAGATCTGGATTTGTGCGGATTCTTCGCCGAGTTCTCCGGCAATCCCCTGATAAAGCACTTCCTCCAGTCGGAGATGCAACTGAGTGATATCATTGCATGTCCTGTCCGCGTGGGGAACTACACGCTGAAGAATATGAGTGCCAAGGACGTTTACCCGCCGATTTTGCAGAACGGCACCTACAAGTTCTTCGTGGAGGTGATTGAGGCAACGTCCGAGAAAGTCTTTGCCCTGCAGGTGACCACCGAGATCCATGTTCCAAGTGCCCCCGAATAAACATTGCATATAGTACAGTGTGTGAGCCCACAAAGGATGTGTAATTACAGGATGTGTGTGTGTGTGTGTGTTTACATTCACCCCCCGTCTGCATTGTAAGCGGATTGCTGTCCTTTCGCCCTCGAATTTTCCGCATTTTCCGTTGTGCGTAATGCGCTTCGTAGCAAGGAACATATTGAAAATCGTTTAAAGCGCCGTCCAAGTGCATGGCCGATTATGGTGATTATCCCCGAACTATAGAGACTTGCGTGTGTGCTCTTGTTCGGGGGGTTTCCCTGGATTTCCCGCGGGATCCTTGCCATTTTCCCCGAAGCCATATGCGCAATTTGGATATAATTAATAGAAAAACAATATGTTCAATGGCCAATCTATTGGGTTTTGAAGTCTTTTACCATAACTGCGGTAAAAACATTCAAGCCGTAAGCCACTAAAACCCTTTCCATCATTAAGGTGGCAAAAAGCGTTGGTAATATGATATTTTAATGGAGCTTGAAATATTCTTGCCCCCGTTAATTAAAGTCCATAATGCGGTTTTCAGCGCGTATTATTTTCCACATAGTTTTTTTTATAAGGAAAGGGGTTGTCTGACAAGGGTCACACCCTCCAATCGGTAATGCCTTTCTTAACGCACAATCAAATCACTTTGCGAATTCAATTTGGCAAAAATAATGCGAATATATCTCGAGCCGAGGCCGAGGCAAATGGAAATCAAAATTTCAATCTCGACAGGCGGCTGAGGGAAAATTCCTGCAACTTGGGAAAAGTTGGGAGGGGGGCACTCACGTGAAGTGCCAATGCCTGCTATCGAGTGTCGCACTTATGTGTGACCTTTGCAAATTCAATTTGTCGCCTTTTTATCTATAAACATTTTCTATTAGCCTCCGTTGAGGGGGAGACAATTTTCAATTTCGATTTGGCAACAGGGTGAGGTCAATGGCACAAAAAAATTGGTATTTGGCGGGGAAATACTATAGCTAATCCTATGCCACAGGTCATCGAAATTGGAGCTTCTTAGCTTTTGCGAATGAATATACCAAATATATTATATACGCCTATAAGAAATTAATTCAATCAAAATTGATTTTTAGTCGTCGGTAAGCTAACTTCAAGCCAACTTTAAAGCGCAACTTGGGATAGCGTTCATTGGGTCCGTTTTCTGGCAATTAAAAAGGCGTTGAGTTGGGCAATTAAACACACGAACCTGCCTCAAAATAATTCACTTAAATAACGCAATGTTGCGTAATTCTGTTTCACAGTTTTGTAATTAAAAGCATTTGCATAAGAATCGCATAGAGCGCCGGCCTCGGGCTTACTTTCATGCCACTCTAATTAAACCGGCCCTCGGAGCAGGACCCATTTCGCTGGCCAGGACTTTGGGTCTCGTCTTCCCCTAAAGGTCATCAACGTCTCCGACGAGGCGACTCAAATCCCACGGATTGGGACTGGGAAATGTGCAGTTGCGGTCTTGGTTTGTCAATAGCGTTTTGTCCATTGCGTGGCATACAGGAAGTCTTTAATGTTTTACCTGAGTGCCTTCCAATCGGTCTAGTATTTAAACGAAATTGAGTTGTTTGGGTTTATATTCACAGATCTATTTATATTCTCCACCAAACAAGTTATTGTATTAACGGTCTTAAAAAGACGTTGTTATTGTAGATTAACCATTGACTATAAAAATCGAATAACCACGGACTAATATTATTTAAAACAAATTGCAAACACGACAATATAGTATCGAATTGGAAAACGGTTGCAAGGGTATGTTATACCATCCCAATTCCAAATCGAACAATTATTTTAGAAGTTAACAAGAAATATAACAATTTAATTACAAGTGGCGCAATCCGTTGGGTGTATATTTGTTTTGAATCTTATTATCAAAGTGAAAAAAAAGTCGTGGCGGTCGACTATAGCGGCTATTTTTGTTTTCTATAAAGTAAACGCTTTTTGTATCTCTTATGCTAACAAGTTATTGACAAATTTTTCTGCCTGAAAGCATGATAAATTCAAGTTTAACTTGAAAACAGATGGCGATTGGGTTGAGGTTAATATGGGATATGATCGCCAAAGATGTATTATTTAACAATAAATAGTTACCCAGAGATAAGATCTATTTATTTACGTTTATCAATCACATTCAATATGAGCTCCGGTACAATGACGCGCATATGCAGTATAGTAGCTAATCCCACACTTAGAAAAACAATTTCTGATTTCGGAAAAATATTGCTTTTGTTGATAAATGTGTGTACGTATCTCAGAAATTATGTTTTTAAAGATACCTTTAGTGTACCAAAAATCTTACACTAGAACGTAAGACACTGTCAACGTCGAAAATCACTCACCCATTTTAATGTATTTAGTTGTACCATCTTCTTAATGAGTATTTTTAATTTAATTTTATTATTACAGTGGCACAAGGATAACAAAACAATAACCAATAACAGCCTTATTAATAACCAATAAAAGAATATTATTATTTTAAATAAAAAATGCATTTTTAAAAGATGTTAATCAAAACCAAAAATGAGATTCAAAAGCTAGTTTCCTGACGATTTCAGTGTGGTTTCGATTCCGAGTGCATGGGCAAACAAATCGTAAATCCGTGTTCAAAAATCATATGAGCCTAATTAAGAGCCCATTACCCAACCCTCGCTGTGTAAACAGACACCGCCGACCGCAAGTCAACCAACCAACTCGCGAACCAACCCTCCGATTCAGTTGCAAAGGAAATTTGCAGGGGAGGGGTTGGTGTTTTACACAGCAAGTTGGGGGGGTGCTTCGAATTGTTACGTGTGTAATCCGACACTTGGCAGCGACAACCACCTGGGCAATTAGCCAGCGAAATCTCCATGCAAATGAGTGGTAACTGTTTGGCGCTCTCGTTAAGAACATTTCCTTAGACATCCTCGGTGTCAGGAGCAGGCGGCTCAGACTTGGCTCACAAAGGCCGGAGCTATGCTAATGAGCCCCTGAAAAGCTGATAATTAGCCGAGGGCAAGGAAAAGCCACAAACTGAAACTTGTTGACCTCGTTACCACAACAGATCTTGGCCAGGCTTAAAACTTAACAAGCCATTTTTTACTTTTCTGTCTTCTTCACGAGGCTGGGATGCGGCCGCTTTATTCGGTTGTGCGCGGGAGTATAAAAGTTCATAATTTAATTTCAGTTTATTAGCCGGAATTGTTTTTGGCGCTGCTGCGAACGAGGATGCTCCTGATGGCGTCGCGACGCAAAAATTTAATTAAGTTTTTGTAGACCGTTTCTCTAATTAATTGCATTCAGCTGCAATTAAAGACAGGGATCATGCAAACACAACTAGAAACAGGGGAGTGTTAAACTTTATTCATGATTACAATTATATTGTTTATTTATTTGTTATTATCTAGGCGAACACGGAAATCTATGTATTATTTAAAAAACTATACTAGTGTTGTATTTAATCATAATATTGCTTAAAACAAAACTTTTTTGAACATACTGGTTTATGATTTTGAAATAAAATTTAAACATAATCATATACAATTAATAAATATTTATTGTTACGTTTTTGTATAGAGTAGAGACTATTTTTTAAAAATAATTAATACCATTAAATATAAATTTCGTATATTATTATTTATATTATTATTGTGTTAATATTTTATAATTTAAAGAATGTATATGTCTAAGATTCCGCAACCATTTATTTCATTTTGTTTGACTCCCTGGTTTTATGCCACTGACTTCCTTTATTTTTTTGACCAAAAACTGACGCCATTTTGGAAACTCGCTTGCAACAGGAGCTACATTAAATTTTCAAAACCACAAAAAGAATCCTTTGGTTCTTAAAATGTCTGAACAACGCTGACCATGGTGATGCCATGAGTGAGGGGGTTTTGATGAACAGAGGATAAAGGTGCCTGGGGCTGGCAACAAAAGGCGCACTCACCTGCCAACGCCCCAAGGCACCCCCCCCCCATAACCTAAAACAACCCCCTCCCCCACGATGGAGTGGGTGGGGGAAACTCCAACGCAGTGCAATGAAATTCTTCATCTGCAATTCAATGACATTCCATTCCGGACGTTGGATGGGGGCGTGGCATGGCGGAGCACATGCTGCCAATGAGCGTGCCCCCAGCGGAGCAACAGATGAAACATTTAAGCGGCGCCCCCTGGTGGACCTGCAGCAAGGGGCGTGTCCGCGCATGCGCCTCCCAACTGCGTGGGTGTCCGGGGGTGGGATTGTCGAGCTATGTCATCCGCACGGCGAATCCCAGGCCAGGCCGCTCCAGGATTCCGCCGCAAGGTGCGAGCGAGAGCGGCACATCCCGCTCAATAATGTGGGTGACCTGGTGGATGGCCCAGTGGGTGGTAGGTTGTGGGTGGTGGGTGCTCGCCCTGAGCTGCCTTTCATTGGCTTCGCATTCAAACCCAATTTCAGCTAGCAGCATTGCGACAGGTGACCGTCCGGAGTTCAGTTCTCTTTGAAGCCTGCCGCGGGTCAGTTGCGTGTCACGGAAAATCCTTCAGTTAACGGGAAAGTCCTTTGGCTTTCGGGAAAGTATATACCTGTTAGTGCAGTGAAAAGGTGTCTTACAATTTATTAAACTGGAATTTCCAAAGTTGTGCAACTACAGAAATAATATTAAAAGAAAACAAGTGAAGTAGTAAAACCAAAGTAAATTAATATCTAAATTTTCTGAACCTTAAACTAAAGATTTTTAAATCTGAATTTTGTGAAATAATATGTGCTATATAAATCAAAAATAAATATCGTGCTAGTTTAGGTACCTAAAGGTAAATCTTTAAATAATTTAAAATCATTTAAATTTAAGAATACAATTTAAACATTTTGAATATAAGTTTTAATTTTAAAATAAAAATAAGACTTTCTGCCTTCCTTCTACAAGCTTAAATATTTATAATTTAAGCTCAATCGAACCATTTTTATACTCTTGCAAAGGGTATTATAAATTCAGTCAAAAAAATTGGCATTCGAGTGGAGGGCATATTTCCTAACGACAATATTTAAGTATATATATTCTTGATCAGGATCACCAGGCCAGTCGATCTAGCCATTTATGTCTTTCCATTTGTACGCTGAGAGACTATCAGTTTTAAGGCTATTTTTATGAAACTTAGCAAAAATATATATAGTTTCGTTGTTTCTCAACATGTATTTATATACTCCAAGATATCCTATTTTATCAAATTCAGAAAAATTGGTAGACTGTATCGTATAGATGCCATAGGGACGATTGATAAATTTATCAGAAAATCGACCTAGAATATTTAATTTTTGTAAGAGCTTATATATAGTTATATAATTGTCGGCCGAAGTTTCCCCAAGTTTGGTTCTTTTTTTTTTTTTGGTAACTAGCTTAACTTAAAATGGACCGAAATTAAATGAAATCCAAAATTAGTTTTTATCAAAATAAATCATTTGAGTAAAAAACAAGAGAGAACGCTATAGTCGGGTGCCCCGACTATCAGATACCCGTTACTCAGGTATAGGGAGTGCGAGGGAGATGGAGATAGAAACTTTGATCACGCATAACTTTTTAACGAATGGTCCGATTTGAAAAATTTCTTCTACATTTCGATAGCTATTGATAAACACAATAAAACTGCATTTTTACTTTTCCGAAATATTTAAATTTTGAAAATCGTATATAAGCGATTGTGGGCGTTAAAGGGGGCGTGGCACCTTTTTGAAACAAACTTGCGCTGCGTAGGAACTCCTAGAATCTGCATACAAAATGCCAATCTTCTAGCTTTTATAGTTTCCGAGATCTCAGCGTTCATACGGACGGACAGACAGACGGACAGACAGACGGACAGACAGACGGACAGACAGACGGACAGACGGACATGGCTATATCGACTCGGCTAGTGACCCTGATCAAGAATATATATACTTTATAGGGTCGGAAACGCTTCCTTCTAGCTGTTACATACTTTTGCACGAATACAATATACCCTTTTACTCTACGAGTAACGGGTATAACAAGAGAGAACGCTATAGTCGGGTGCCCCGACTATCAGATACCCGTTACTCAGGTAAAGGGAGTGCGAGGGAGATGGAGATAGAAACTTTGATCACGCATAACTTTTTAACGAATGGTCCGATTTGAAAAATTTCTTCTACATTTCGATAGGTATTGATAAACACAATAAAACTGCATTTTTACTTTTCCGAAATATTTAAATTTTTAAAATCGTATATAAGCGATTGTGGGCGTCAGAGGGGGCGTGGCACCATTTTGAAACAAACTTGCGCTGCGTAGAAACTCCTAGAATCTGCATGCAATATGCCAATCTTCTAGCTTTTATAGTTTCCGAGATCTCAGCGTTCATACGGACAGACAGACAGACAGACGGACAGACGGACATGGCTATATCGACTCGGCTAGTGACCCTGATCAAGAATATATATACTTTATAGGGTCGGAAACGCTTCCTTCTAGCTGTTACATACTTTTGCACGAATACAATATACCCTTTTACTCTACGAGTAACGGGTATAAATACCTAGGTATTTGAGCAAATCGCTTTCAACTGATTTATAATTTTGGATATTAATTAGTTTTTAAGCTAGCTTATTTAGTTTTTTTTTTAAATCTACATTTCTTTTTAATTTACGCTTGATTTTTCAGTAAAATCCTACCCAAAACATACATTAAACGATTTATTGTCTAAAGATAAAAGTGAATGGAAGACTTCAAATGAAACTTCAAGGAGTTGAAGGCACCACCAAAACGCAATAGAATAGAAGGGAGAAAAATGATGAACATGAATCCGCCGACGCACCCGCATCCCCATCCCCATCTCCTGCCGCATCTTGGCCCGCACCAGCAACTGCCCGCCCTGCTCCAAGGCCACCCCACTACCACCCATTTTGTCGAGTGCCGGGCATTACCGGCAATAAACGAGACATTTCCGCAATTTGGCCAGCATCGCCCGGCTATCTCGCTGCTCTCCCCTCTTGACCTTTCGCTGCGGGCCGCGGCCAGTGTAGTGCCAATTACTCCACCCTCGACGCCCTCGCCGCCCCGCAAGCGCCAGAGATTAATGTCCGAGGAGAATTACCTGTGGCGTCCCCACATGGCGAGTCTTGCAGCTCCAGTTAATGTTCCTTCGACCCTGGCAATGCAGCCAGGCAGTAGTTTCTTCCATCATCACCAGCAACAGCAGCAGCAGCAGCAACAGCAACAACAGCAACATCAGCAGCAACAGCAACAACAGCAGCAACAACAGCAACAGCAGCAGCAACAGCAACAACAGCAGCAGCAACAGCAACAACACCAGCAACAACACCAGCAACATCATCAGCAATATACCATTCGGAACAGCTTTGACGGCGCTTCCTTTAATAAAAGTCATTTTCACGGGACGAAGAATAACTTTGAGCAAATTCCGGCGGGTCAATCGAGCGTTAGCTCGCCCATCTACGTGGAGGATGAGACCATTGTGCTGACCGAGGACGAGGATGAAACAGTTGTCAGTTCCCATGACTACAATGAGTACGCCACGGACACGGAGGAAGTCAACGAGGGCGACGATGAGACACTGCAGGTCCAAGTCAGCGATAATGGCGATGAGGATGAGGAGGAGGTGTTCGTGGACGTCTTGGGCAGTGACGATGATGAGGATGAGGCGGTGGACCCGGCCACAAGATTGCAGGCCCAACTCCAGGAGACCACGGCTCTGAAACGCAACGAACTGCTGTACGAGGATGAGAAGCTGCATAACCAGGCCGTAGATGGTCTGGCCAGACTTTTCGATCGGGATTTTCCGGAGCCAGAGGTGGAGGTTAGCGAACTGGCGGAAGTCCAGAGCAGCAGCGGGAAAACCTACACGGATCTAAGTGGCGGCGTGGCAACAGTGGAGATTAGGAATACTACTTCCCCCGGTCTGCACCCACTTCCTCCTCCTGCTCCAGCTCCTGCTCCTCCCCTGCCACCCACGCGACCTCACAAGGCGGAACGTAAGAGGTCGAAGCTACGGAAACACATGGCCATCGATGAGGAAACCATAAGCCCCGTCTCCGGCACCATCATCCGCAAATTGCGCGACGACGAGGAGCTGGTGGTGCGCAAAGGCGACATTGATCCGGCTTTCAATGTGGTCGAAATCACCGAGGAGGCCAAGGCCATCCTGGCCAGCATCGACAACAAGATTGGCGACTATCTGTGCCAGCTTTGTCGCACCGTCTACGACGACGCCTTCATGCTGGCCCAGCACCGCTGTCCCCGCATTGTCCACATCGAGTACAAGTGCTCCGAGTGCGAGAAGGTTCGTGGTTAGTCAAGGGAGTTCCTCTTCAGCCGGCTAAGTCGTAATCTATTCGCAGGTCTTTAATTGCCCGGCCAACTTGGCCTCCCATCGCCGGTGGCACAAACCCAAAGCGGATGCTCCCGGCGGAACAGCTAATCCCAGCAAGAAGCGACATGTCGAGACGGGCGACCTCAATCAGGAGTCGGGACGAGGTGGCGATGACGCCAGCGATGGCATATACCCTTGCCACATATGCGGAAAAACATTCAGACGGTGAGTTAGTCGCTTATTTAGATATAATCACCTAAAAGAGAATACAAACCATAGGTGTTTACGACAAAATTGGTCAAAGATTCTATTGAAAAGAATGAATTTGTTTTATCTTTCTGGTATGTTTAATAAAAACCGGCCCAAGACTAAAGTTCCGAAAAACTATATTAAAAATGTAAAATATTATAAATTATATTAGTCAAACTTTTAGTAGTTATTTTTTTAAGCATCTGAGTTTAAAATATTGCAGATATTGTAGGTATCTGAATGCATTTTTATAAATGCAAAATAGCTAACATTATAAATGTAAAAATCTTGCTTAAATTCATTGCTTACTTAAGAGCTTTTAAATTCATTATATTCCTTTCCTCTTACAAAATGAATATAATCAAATACTACTTTATATTTATAACCTTACGACAACAGACAAGCGTACTTGAAGAAACACCAGGCCTCCCATCAGATGCTGGATAATCTGAAGAACCTCGATTTTTTCAAGGCACAGCAGCAGCAGTTGGCCATTAGTGGCCACCAGTTGCCTGATCATGTCCAGCTGCAGCAGACGGCAGGAGGACAGGCGGTCTCTGCCGCCGCTCCCTACTCCTCCCTGCCACGCCCACCGCAGGGAATGCCCCACTACCCGCCCCCAAATGGTAAGAACTATGCGGCTGGTCAGCGCTTTCCCGGATTTCCCTTCCAGCCCTTCGACCAGCGGCGCTTCTATTCGTTCGGGGAGTTCTACCTATCGCAGCACCTGGAGCGCTCCTCGGCCTTCCAGTATGTGCAGGCCAATCACCTGAGGCAGCTGTCGAATGTGGCACAAACGCTGATGCCGCCACTGCCCGTCAAATGACCCAATCCCAATACGAATGTCCTGCGGCCCGTGCCCCGCATTGCTGCCACAACAAGTGGAACAGGACCTCCGGCAGCGACGGCGACAGGCAGACAAGTGGCAGCTACTGCGGCGGTGTCCTCCGGCGGCCACGCCTTCAATTGGGTGGCACCTTCGAGTGGCAGTGCAACTGCAACTGCGGCAAATGCTGCGGAGTCCGGCGGCAATGTTATCATGTGACTTACCAACTATTAGAAGCATTGAATCAACGATCTCTAGTTAAAGTTTAATAAATCAATCAGAACAGGAGAAAGTCTTTTAATGGGTTATTTTTCTGGGGTTTTATTGGAACACTAGTATTCAATTTGTCAAAATCTATTATAATAGACTTAACAAAAAAGCAAAAACAAACTAGTTAAACTAGTACTGAATATTAAAAAAAATATTTTACTTTATTAAATGAATCATTTCTCTGCTGGATTCAGTTTTTAATTTCTAGTTTTAAGTGTACTTTACTAGTAAACTTCGCTTTTTTATAGGGAAGAACGATATACATAGTTTTGTTTCAGTTTATAATGATGACTTCTTTTTCCATTTTTATTTTTACATACATAGTTTTGTTTCAGTTTATAATGATGACTTCTTTTTCCATTTTTATTTTTGTAAAATTTTGATTTTTTTCACTTTAACCTAAATTATAAATTTGAATTATTTTTTTTAATTGTATCTTACGTTCAACAATTTTTTCTAGTATCGATTTTTTTGCAGCCTTCTTCACATCCATTATTTATTTTACCAATCATTTAATAAAGTGTGGTCCACAGAATAATCAATAAATTAAATTTGGAAAACTATCAATATACTTAAGAATTGTGCAATTCTTTCAAAGATTGTTCTTTCCAAGGAAAAAATATGTGTTAAGGATTAGTTTTACTCCTGCTAAGGACGTGGGATATAGCATGTGCCAGAAACGATTCCTTTTGAACACCATGAAATATGGAAGACTTGGGTCCTGCAAAATATTAAAAGGTAGCTTGAAACGATATTTCTAACCGAAATTACAGGAAATAACCTACCTTGGGCAAAAAGTAAGCTCTCCGAAGGCATTTGATGTAGTCTCTGTTGGATTTGAAATTCCGCCTCATTGAAAGTATCCGCCAGGTGAATAATTGTCTCAGTTTCTTCGCTGACATCAAGGATCGGTTTTGGATAGATGGCATTGGTCATGAGAACTAGAGTTAGAGTATCTCGATCTGGCTGAAGGTTAACCAGTGTTTCGTTCAGAATCTGTAGTTGCATTCTTTTGTCCATGTCCGACTTAATAAACTGTTCCACTATCAGTAGATAGCCTTGTCCACGCTTTTTCAGAACTTGTAGTGATCTTTCCACCATTAATTTCAGACTTGGGGCCTTGGCATTCCCACTCAAATCTCCATTGGCCATCACACCGAATAGAAAGTCAAAGTTGCTGGCATTCAAGGACTCCAGTTCATCGGTTCGCTGAAGGAATTCAAATTTTATTGGACTGATTTTGCTCTCCTCGAGCTTGTGGTTTCTCCACTCCTTGAGCAGGTTGCGTCCATCGCTGGAGTCGCAGAGCAGTTCATCCACAGGATCCGAATTGGTTTTGGGAACCAGACTATTTAGCATTTGCCTGCCGCCTCCGATTATTACGTTGAGAGATCTACCAGTCTCACCAGAGATCAGCTGACGTGCTATATCCTGGCAACCGGATTTTGAGTAGCCCAGAGGCATTCTTTCATCGCATTCGTAGTTACTGTTGGTGTTTCCAAGAGCTGCCCCCGTGGATCCTGTAATCCTTTGGGTGGTCACAAAACCCGTTCGAAGGCCAACTAATTGAGCCTGGCGAAGAACACTTAGCGGGGTATCCGTTTCGTTGATTGACTCCCTACAATCTGGCTGAAATCGGGGCACTCTATCCAAAGGTATTCCCGACCACAAAGCCCTGGGAACACTGCCCACTTGACAGGGAATCTGCTGACTGCAGCTGTTTTTCAAGCGAGCCAAATGTGGAAAGTAGTCCCAAGCAAAGTTCGTATTTCCCTGACTTAAGTCTCTGGCGGGAAATCTATATGCCGCTAAGTCTGCGCCATCTATACCTTGAACCAGAAATATCCTTACGTTTCTGGGATAATTTGGAGCCGAAGGCGATCTCAGCGCCTCGTTGAGCTCCTCAATGCCCTTGTCGTACCAGATCTTCTGCGTGGAAGCCACCTTGTCCTTCCAATAGTCCACATCCGCCACGTTGGCCACCTCGTTCTCCACCTCGTACCTGGTCATCAGTCCAATGCAGACCAATGTGACCAGCAAAGTTAACAAACATGTCCCGGCCACAATAAACACCTGTGTTGATTTCAGCCGAACTGTTTGGCAGAATTCTTTGATCCGCTGTGTCGTTACCATCGCCGAGCTGTATCTTAAACTGATTCACAGCCAGAGAGCCTAATCATAAACAACTCTATCTGCTATCTGTTCTTCGTGATAAGGTTTGGTTGCGTCTTAAAGGTCTTACAGCCCCCAATCGTTGGTCGTTTAGTTGGGCTTAAGTGTAGCAATTAACCCACGTCATGAATTATAAATGCACTAATTGGCATGCCAACTAATGCAAAAACACATGGAGAAAAAAATAAAGTGGAACAATTATTTCAATACTTGAATAATAAGAATTGTTTAATATTTTATTCATGAGTTATTGAAGTTATCAACACCATGATTTTAAAATGGGATACTGCGTACACCAGTGTCTTGGTTATTTTTCAAAATTTGTAATAAATAAGAACCCCTTTAAAAAAACTGTCACAAGAGAAAAACACAACAAATCCTTTAAAAATTATCTCATACAGGTTTAATTTTCCAGACGTTGGTCAGGATTAGTAAATAAATTACAGGGTATCTAATTAAGGTGACGATATCAAGAAAAAATGTCGCTCCCCTTTTAGAGTTAACACATTTCTGAAATCCCTAAAATTATAAAAAAATGAGCATGATCTATTTTAAAGTTTAACCACTTTTACTATTTACAGGTAATTGGGAAATGTCTGGTAAGCCAACTTAAGTTATATTTATTTTTATTATTTTATTCTTTTCTAAATTAAGTAATCAAACCATGTCGAAAGATAACATTTAAATTGGGTCTTTAATTACTTATATTTAAAAAAAAAAGTCTATTAATCTTTTAGTTTTTTCAGGAACTTAAACAACTTTTGGCACGATAAATATGGAATTGTTTTATGCAATGCTAATTTAAGTTATATTTATTTTTCTCAATGCACTGCATTGCGAATTCCGAGTTCAATTGCTGTTTTGAGGGGTCAAAAACTTCTCGGCTTTGGTCATTAACTATTTCTCACGTGGACAGTCGATTGTGTGGGCCACAATTGATTTGCTAAAGCAGCCCAACTTGTCAGCAGAATGGGATGTCCTTTGGCCCGGGCAAACGACATATACTAATTGTCATTTGGCATTCAAATAACCTTTTCAATAACCACCCCATTTGGCAAACTATTTCGCTTATGAATTCTCGCCCAATTAAATTGGCTCACACAGAACGGCAACGGTTTGTTCATTTGCCAGTTATGCGAATGCAAAATTGTTGCCTCAATTACCTGCCATTAGCCTGCATTTACGCCCCTGCCCCCGACCATGCCCCCGACCCCGCCCACTACACCCATCACGTCCGTCATTTCGTCGCTTTGAAGTTGCTTTGCATTGACATGTGGTCAGTTTTCCCCCGGCGGAACTGTCACAATTTCAATTTGAATCCCACTCAACTGACAATCGCACTCGGTCGGTCGGGTATCATTTTGATTATCGGCTTGTCCATTCATCTGTTTGTTTTACCAATGGTCTTGACTTGCGGAAATGGCTGAGCAATTTCAATGGCAATTTTTCAATCACGCTGTGATTTTGCCTGTCAAACAGCAGCCCACGGTGCGTATGCGTGATCTAATGTGGGTGTGGGTGACGTTAGTGCTCCTTTTTCCCCTAAATGAAAGTTTATAGGTGGGAAGCGATGAAATTTCTAGTATTTCCTCCTCTCCGCTTTCTCTGCTGCTTCTTGGCCAAACTTCCTCCACATTCTATGCATTTATTCACATTGCTTAAATAAAATTATTTATTAGGCAGATATTTTGGAATCAAAACATTATTTTTTGGCAAGAAGCTGTTACGAAATTATGAGTCTGTAACTAAAAATGGCATACTATTTTAGTAGAAAAATACCATAAAATATCAAAGCTCTCGAAATGGGGTGGCCCTTAACGAAAATTTCAAAACTTAGCTTTAAACGAAATTATGGTTTTTGTAGTGAAATAAAGTAATCTTAAGACTACAAGATTTTATGTTAATTTTATGTGAAACTTTGCAGAAAATCTTTTTTCTGTTGCAGGTAATACAGTATTATTTAGCTCCAATATACAGTTATTTTAAACGATTTCATAGATTAATTGTTTTAAACATATACGATTTAAACTTATATATCGGGGTAGGTTCTTGTTGCAAGGGAAGAAAGAAAAGCTCTCATTTCACCCCTATTTAAAAAGGTTCGTTTATTGAGTGAGCTTGTGGGTAAGCTTTCAGCAGCGCCCCCTGCTGGCAAATAAAGAACTAATCAAGATCCTAAGGTAAAATAAAAATAGGGAAACAAATTAACAAAATATGTTTTTAATAAACAATATTATATGATTTTTTTTTAATTCAAACAATAATTGATGAGTAATAAAAATATACAAACAAAGAAGGCAAAACTTTGTTTCTGATTTTTAAAATATTATAAAACACTATTTTTAATAACTAATATTGATTACTTAAGAATGCTTAAATTTTAAAGCCTGGAATAACCAACATTTTATATTTTATCCTCAAAAAGCTTTTTTGATTAAGCACTAGCTAGGCTTAACTCATTTAGCAACTTATAAGCCAAGTTAATTTATTTTCTGAACAAAAGATTGTAATTTGTATTGACCAAAAATAAATTTTTTTCATCAGAAAAAATATATCCGATCAAACTATTTCTACTTTTTAAAATTTTTAAACTTACTCTATTTGGGACAACACAGATGCATTTTTAAAGGCAACCTCACTATTGACAAGCGAGTTGCATTTGCTGACTAATGCATTTAAAGTCTTGTCAGCCTTCAATAAATTCGCAAATTTCAAAGGGAAAACTTTTTAAAGTGGGTAGAACATGCCAACAGCTGGTCAAATCTGGTGCGGCTTACTAAGGATTAGATCATATTAAATCATATGCTGTGCAAATGGCATTTCGTATGCATCCGACAAGCGCCGCAGGATGCAATTAGCGGCGAGTGGCCGTCAAGTCAGAGCCATCGAAGACAGGAAGCCGAGAAATCGAGAAACCGAGAGACCGACAACCCGAGAACATGGCCAAGAACAGTGGTTTTGCATGGCAAGAGCGCCCAGGAAGTCGACGGGCGTGACGCATATGGGTCACTTGGACTGGCCCACGTCAATGCCTTTGCAAAATGCCAAGCCAACTCCAGCTGCGGCTGCTGCATCTGCCCACGCCCACGAACACGACCACGCCCATGCCCAGTTCACGCCCGGAAAACTGGGTGGGTGCATTCATATGCAAGAGAAAAAAGAGAGAGCGACCACACACAGCCGTGACCTTGCCCCCCAAATAGCAATTCTCATCATCGAGTGATGTTTGCATTCCAACGGCGCCTGCCTAAAACATTTTCCGTGTTCGCTATCCATATGGCAAGAAGGGAGGAGTTTCCTTGACCCATTTTCCGGGGTAAATGCAAAGCGCAGTTACTGAAATCCCCAATTAAACTTTAATTTGACGCGCATAATTACAAAATTAGTAGCAATGAAAATTCGCTTTATTTGTTAGTAATGCAATTTAAATTAACGCTCGAATTAAAGCGCAACGCAATATTTTCCATACAAGTGCAAATTATTTACATGAAACATTCCATGTCACTGGAATGCGTCATTCATTGTTTTGGAGTACAACGCAGGGATTAGTATGAAGTAACTAATACATTTTAACCAAAGCTTTCAGAGGACAAAACAAAGCAAAATCATTTTAAGATCATTATACCACAATTAGGTTCACATGTCCCAGCAAGATAGTTTGGCGACAGCATAGAAACAATTAAGACAATTAAAACAAATTAAAACTGAGGGAATAGTTTGCGTATAAACGGACGGACATACGGTCATGGCTAGATCGACTCTCCTGTTGATGTTGATCAAGAATATATATAATTTATTGGGTTGGAAATGTCTCCTTCACTGCGTTGCAAAATTATTATCCTCTGCAAGGGTAAAAAAAAAATTAAAATATATCTTACAAAAATTTATAATTCTCTTAATAAGTACTCATGCTAACATAAATAAACAAAATATGATTTATATTTTGTAATGTGTTTAAATATAATTATGCGTCACTAAATCGAAATAACATGTTTTTAGGTTGAGATATTTTCTTTATAATACAAATTATAAAAATATCACATAACGAAGCTTATGTCGATCTAAAAATGCCTAGGATCAGCTCTCCAGTATTATTATGATAAGAAAAATTCCACTTAACCCACACGTTTTAACGTCTTCCATAATTGGTATTTCTGTATAGTTTACGCTTGATTGCATGGCATTCTCATTGCCATTTGACAGCAATTTATATAATACAAGAGGGGGTCATGAAGGGGGCGGAGATGAGCAATATGACTCGACTCTTGGGTGCAATAAATGATGCAGTGGGGTGGAAAATTATGCATTTAAATCTTTATACAGCGATTGCAGTATCTTATCATAAATGGGGTAACAGCAAAACTAATGGCATTGAAAACTTTGATTGAGTGTCAATTAATGTTTTAAAAGGAGAAAAAAAATTGAAAAATATTCTCCAAATTGTGCAATTTTGCTTATTTTTATTAGGAAATGCGCTTGGTTGAAATTCTTTCCGTTTACCCTTTGATTATTTTCTTTAATGTTTGGCAAACACGAAGTGGAAACCAAGCGGCGATAAGACGAAGACAAAGCGGCAAGAAATACAAAAAAAAATAAAGAAACGGAAGAGAGATAAAACTGAGAAGTTGCAATTTATTGATTGTGTGCACTTGCACTTGTGTTGTGTATCTGTGCCTGGTATGTGTATCTGTATCTGTGGCTGTACTGAAAATATAGTTGACAACTGACATACAAACACACATCGGGTCATGTATATGTATGTATATATACTTATATGTGGCCTTGAACGTGAATTGCATTTGCGCTCGAAAAGCGAAAAAGTAAAGGGAAAAAACAAACACCGAGCGAAAAACAAACAACAAAAACAAGATGCTAGGCGAGGGATATGGCGAGTGTGTGTGAGCGAGATGGCCAGACGTCGCAAAGAAATGTGCCAAAGCGAAAAGTTTGCACGCACACAGGCGCAATTTGCAACTGCATTTCCCCCTCTCTCGCGCTATCTCTTTCTCCTTCTTCCTCTGCAGCAGGCTATCTCTCTCCAGCGGGCAACTAACAATCTCAAGGTTACCCCATACACATACAAATCACTCATGTGATGCGCTCTCTCCCTCTCTCTTTCTCTTTTGGCAAAAATGGAAAACTACCAAAAATAAATTGAATTTTCAAATGCAATTTCATGTTCTTAGATCCTCTTGCCTCCGAATTAATCCATCTAAAAACTATACAGGTACCTACATAAACATTTCCATTTTTATTTACACAAGGAGAAACATTTTTAAAATTTATTTTTGACAAGCACAAGCTTTATCGTAATTTAGATAATTCAATACTAGCAATTTTATTCAACTCATATTCTACCTGATTTTGGAAAAGTATTTCACGTTCCTTCATCTATCTGTAATTCACAAAAATATTTTATTTATACAAATCTATCTATATTATAGCCAAATTATATTTTGTTTGTTGTTTAACACGGCACAAAAAAACCAACAAAGGAAATATTATACATTTTTTTTTTATGTGTACTAACAGCTTATATCGCATGTTTTCTGCCTACGTTTGCATCTTTCTATCTCAGCTTGCATATATATTCATTATCGCACAGATACAAATTTCAGTTTCACCGTTTTTTCCGTTTTCTATTTTATAAGTTTAACAACAGCATTTTCCTGTGTTTATTTGGGTTAAAGGTGTGTGTATGCTAGCGGTTGTGGGTGAGTATTCGTGTTAATTGGTTTTGAAAATAACATTTTACATCTTGATTAATCGCCTTTTAAATTTTCAAAGTCTGGTAAGTCGGTAGCCATTTTTGGGGTCTCATTTAATTTAATTTAAGTTGAGAATTATAATTAGCTTTGGTATTAAAATGGAACTGGGTCAGAGTTATCCCTGCTTTAATGAAAATTTCATTTTGAGAAAATACCTCGACATTGCCCATACGCCATGTTGCCAAGCTGTAAATGTTTTTAAGCCAGCTTCCAGGAAATGTGCAATGCTTTCGTCAGGGGAAGTAATTGAAGGGTCAGCGTCAGCACATACATAAAATCATCCACCCCCGACAAAAGCGCTATAAAACCCCGAACAAATGTCAAAGTTGAATGCACAATATCAAAGTCGCTGCAGGCTAGGGGAAAGCCAGAAAATAGCAAATGAAATCGAAATCGAAATGGGAATGTACATGTAAATGTAAATGTGAACCATTTGGCACACTTGTCCGTCCGTCCAGTGCAACAGCCAACATATGGTCGCCATTAGCTTTACCGTTGCATAAAGCTACCCTACGCTCTCTATTTCTTATTTCCCCTGCAAAACGGCGAAACAAGAAAGCGAAATTTCTGGCACATATTTCACAAACATCGACTGCAGACAACTCGTCGCAAGTAGCGATGATTCACGCCAGCTATATACTGGTATACAGCCAATTCACCACCCTCACACAGCTGCACTTTCAGTTGGGTTTTTGTAAAAGCTTTCTCTCTCTCTTGCTCTCGCTCTCTCTCCGTTCTTCGTTCTCCGTTCCATTCCACAGCGTTTCGCACACACACACACAAACGCACCCGAAAGCGAATCCTTGTGGCATGTATTTCAAGTTCACTGTCAAGGTCACCTACTACAGTCATGCGCTGCGAAACGGGGAAAGGGAAAGGGCGGTTGTTGCAGCAGCAGCCGAATCAGCAGCTACCTACACAGTGCTGGCGAAATGTTGCCCTCCCACTCTGACACAGTTTTCCCCAAAGTATACACATTCTATAATAGATGCGCTATAAGCTCGGTCCGACAGCAAGTACTATACAGAAATATGTACTCTCGCCCGAGATATAAATACGTGTGTGCATTTAAATCTGGTTTATAGCCGAGCAACCAATTTCGAGCGCTACTGAGCTCAGCTTTAGCTATTTTTAGTAGCAATTGGACACTTTGACGAAATTTGTCATACTTGACGTATACTTGATATTCCGCTTCTAATGATTTATTGCTTTAAAAATCCAACAATTTAGTTAATGCAAATTTTTTAGACGGAGGTGTCTTTAATCTCTTGCAAAAAGGTTAGTTTATCTAAAATGCCAATATAAAAAAAAATCAATTACAACAGTTGAAAGGTTTATTTTTCAAAAACTTAAATAAAAATAAATTTTTAAAGAGCTATTGTCAACGTATCGCTTTTTCTTTTACTATTTGAAATATTTGTTTATAATTGCATCACATAAATGACTTAACAATCAATTGCAAATATGAAAAACAACATAAATAAAAAATACACTTGCTTTCCCAATTTACTCTTTAGATTATGTAATACCTTCCCAAAAATCCGTTGCACCGCAAATAATCTCATTATTTAAAGAATTTCATTTGTAAACAGGCAAATAGGCAATTATTTTCCAATTTATTAATTTTTAATTTCTTAAAGTATATAAATTTACTTTAAGAAATGAATTACCATTCCGATTGGCCTTTAATTTTATCTACCAGATGAGATGGGAACTATCTGAACTCTATTTACTGTATTTTCCGTTTTTCTTTCCAGCTCTAACGAAATTCACTCGTTAGATGTAATTGCCCCACAATTTCCCCACAGTGCTAATGAGAGAATCGTTTCCTTTCCTCCTCGCAGGAAACATGGTCACATACTGTCGGTGGTCACTGTGCCTGTGGAAGTGCAAGCCATGGCTGTGTGTGTATCGGTCGGGCAGTTATACATATGGGACTATATATTTGCCACTATATAAGCTTCGGTGTATGCCAGTGCATCCGCGTGTGTGTATCTGCATCTGTATTTGTAAATGTATCTGTACCCTTTAAAACGGCGCGGTGCGCATGACATAAGAAATAAGAAAACGGCGCACGAATTGGTAAGTTATGAAAGTCCCCAGCCCGACATGCACTAACATCTGTTGCATATAGCCGAGGCGATGATATAGATATACATACGTATATAGGCATGCATCGTTTGTTTATATATTTACCTGAAAATATGGCACCTATGAGCGTTTCTAGCGATATATCTGCGGATGCGACCGTTACAAAGTGCCAGGGTATGCAAGAGTTGCAGTCAGGGCATTTAATTTAATTAAACAATTAAACAAACATGGCGGACAGCGTTCTCTCACAAACACATGTATACCACTACATATGTATTAGTACTTGCGCCCCAAACAAATTCAATTAAGAAATTAAAATCGAAAAGCCAGCAATGTTTGTACTATTAGAAAGATAGGAAAGAGACGGGTGCGAAAGGCCAGAAAGGGATGCAACCACACCTTATAGAGTGGGTGCGGGGCAGTAGGATTTTGGGGCTGACTTAGTCGGTGGAAAATTGCAGCACACGCACATTTGTCAATCGAAATCGCATGACTGTGCATCGTGTATATAGGTATTATCAGGTTCCACCTAAAACCGTCGAATATATGGCAACAAAAACCCGTATACTTGGGAGGGCCAGTAAGCCAAGTAATTATTGTACTTTCCTCCTATCACTCGTCTACTCTTGTTGCTACGAACATTTTGTGTTGCAAGCGGCAGTTAGTCAATAAATGCGCTAATTATATACAATTCGCTGCCCGGGCCCAGAACTCGAACCGAAAAGCCCTGTCCCAGTAGATACACAGCGAACTAAGTGCACATACAGTGGGCATACAATACGATACTATTGTTAAATTATTTGGGGTGGAGAATCGTAAATTTCAGCTATTCGAAATTCCGTATAAATATTTGTTTATATTTTTATATATAAAAGAAGATATTTCAGAACTGATGATATTTTTTTATTTATATATACAGTGTGATTTATAAATTGTGGTTTTGGAATTTTTTTGTTTGAATAACATAACTCGTAAAAATTTAAGGTTGCGATAGTAAAAAAATATTCTTATGTATATTTGTGATAATGTATATTATATATAAAAGTTTATCCTAAATTTGTACACCAAAATTTGCACCTTTAAATAGATTATGGGCCCCACAAAGGCATTTAAGGGGACTCCCAATAAGATGGTACCCCGGGTGTGCTTTTCTATCGGATGGCCACTGTGCAGGGGCAGTAAACAAGACGCGTCAGGGCAGACTGCACAACTTAAACTGCAAGTACATGCTAGCGAAGGGAACGAGGGGAAGGGAAGGGGGAGGAAAGAACGGGCCAGAGGGAGATGGCGATAGCAAGGGCGAGCGAGAAAGCGAAAGGGGATCAGATGAGGAATAGCTTTGTGTGTGTGTGTGTGAGTATGAATGTGTGTTACTGCGAGAGAGCTGCATACTGGCTTGCACTTACACTCTCTCCTCAATTTATTACATAACATCCTTGAACTTGAGACAAGCTTGCCAGAGGCTCTACTTTAAATGTTATATGTTATTTTGCACATTTTATATTCTGGTAGTGGGACGCTCCTGTCCTTTCGCTACATATGTAGCTTTGGCTGTCTTCTGGGCCCCCATTCTTCCCTTTTCTCCATCCCTTCTCCCCTCCCTCCCACACTGGCTCGATTCTTCTCTCCTCTCTTCGCATCGGAAGCTTTCGGGCTTTTCAGCAAACGACGACGACGGCTCTGCCATTTTCTGCTGGGCTGCGCGTTGGCATTGAAAGTGCGGCAGGCGAGCTGCCAACAACGCTCCATCCCCAGCAAATCCCCAATCGGAACCAGAAGAATTCTAAACACAACAAAAAGTACTATAATACCACCAAAAGCCAGCAAACAATTCTTCTATTATTCGTTGCAAATTAGACACGGAAATGACATCAACAGCAAAATTGTATCTGTCAAATCGAAGCCACCCACAATACGAAACCAAATAACAATGCAAAGTAATTGCAAATTAATTGTGTTCAATTCTAATAGAAGTGCTTGTCAAATTAAAAAATAAATTTAAATAATGTATACCTTGCGCAAAATAATTTAAATAATTTTATGTGCATTCTATAGTGCTCTCCGAAAATCACGAAAAAAAGAACGGAAGAAGGAGAGAGAGAAATGGATTAAAGAATGCAAGTGCATTTCACAACTATTTTAAATAAGTGACCCGAAAACCAGTGAGTTCTGTCTATATAAAAATAAAAAGAATATTTAGAAAAAAATGGAATTATAAAAAGTCAGTGTATTTTTGAACTACGAAAAACAACAGTTTGGATGGAAGAGGAACACAAAATTAACTGGGATCTTAAAAGGTGAGTTATATTACCCAGAACTACATTTATCTACCAGAAACTACATGTGTCGATTTCATCAGCCAACCTTAAGGAATTTTCACTTCTCATATAAAATATATGTGTCTAGGACATAAGGCATGTAGTGAACCTGCAGCAAAAAACCACACACGATACATTTGAAAAATTGCTATTTTATATCTTCTTATTCATTGCGAAATTTCCTTATTAAAATTATAGAATATACACTAAAGAACAACGTTTTTCTGGCTATGGTAAATTCTTTTGAGATTTTTATAGATTTTCTAGTCCTTTCTTAAGCCAAAGTAAAAATTATCCAAGCAGTCCCAACCTCATTGAAAATGTATGCATATTCGTATTCCTTGCTCGAGCTCTCAAAGCTCTGCAGAGCTTTTCGGGATCAAGGGATGAGGATCTCGTTAACCCCACCGAACCCTTGAAATTGTTTAGGAGCGGTTTTGTTTTGCTTCGGCTAGAAAAAAAAGCGTCGCAATAAAAACAGGAATCCGCTAAAAGCAAAAGTGAGTTGCAGGCACACAGATAAAAGTGCGCAGATACAGATACATTTTAGGGATGAGAATGTGGAGGAGAATAATGAATGAAAGAATGGAAGAGAGATTAGAGAGAGTAGAGAGAGCGACCAGCGAGAGAGCCAGTTTGAAGGCCATCGCGGAGAGAGTCGAGTGTCATCACATGTGCCTTTCGGGTTTTCGAGAGGTGTGTGGGGCAGTAGGGCAAAATTGCCCCAAAGACTGCCCAAAAGCGAAGCAGAGCCAAGAAACAGGAACAGGAAGAATCGAAAAACTTGACGAAAGAGAGCGCAAGCCAAAGAGAGTGTTCGCTAGAAGATAGAAACTCTGCCGGCGTCGACGCCGTCAGAGGCAGCGCTGCAACAGAGGCGAGAACTTTCCATGGCAGACGAAAAAGCGGCGACATTGAACAGCGGCACCTTCAACCGATCGCATTTGCCTTTTTCACAAAGCTGATAAATAAATTATTAAACACAAAATACTTTCTAAAAAATATTCAGAAAATAAAAAGTGTTGGTCGAAGGACTAAGGGCCTTGGCCCAAAAGTGACGCATAAATATCCTGCCGGAAAATTCGGGGTCCTACCCCCGGAAAACAAACAAAGTGCATGATAGAAATGAAAAGTACCAGCAAACACAGACAAAAAAAGAAATGGGGCAGAATACAGCAGAATGTGAGTAAACTGAATTGCGTCGTAGTTAACATTTTTTCGACGGCGTCATCAAAGGCACAACGCCACCCCCGCCGCCTCCCTTTTTCACCCACCGTTGTGTTGTTGTGATTACGGAAAATACAGTCAACAATTGCTAAAAGCTAAGTTTTACAACCAGGGGCGCGTCAAAAGGGAATGGAGTATTTTGAAAGGTTAAAATTCCTCTAGATACTAATATTGTTTCTTAATAAAAATGGTTTTAATTGATCAGAACTTGGTATACATCTATATTAATAAAATAATATAATTTTAAAGAAAACTTAAGAAGTTTGACTGTAACTAAAAATTGTTTTGATAACATTACACTTTTGACGGCTTTGATATTTTAACTTCAACACTCCTCCTCCTAATTAACTGGCAACTGGTTTTAAAACTATGGTAGTTTTTTACTGAAAGACCTCCTACATCGAAAAAACTTTAACAAAAATACGTTCCCTCTTTCAAACACACAATGACACTCAATGTTGGCCATCTCTCCCAATCATTTGTTTTCCTTGCCCGGAATTTGCAGAAATATCAAAATTTATTTATAACATAAACAACACGAATTAAGCCAACCAAGAAAAAATACATAATCGTGAAAAAGCCACAACAGCAGCGAAAATAAACAAAACAAATGCGAAAAAGCTTATAAACAGTTCCGTTTATATACAAGTTAAACAAAAAAAACCAACGAAGCATTCGGAATTTGGCCAAAGGGAATTATGATTCTGGGGAACGTTGTGCGAAATGTGATGGCTCAATTTGAGTGCGAGTGTGTGTTGCCATTTTGTTTGTCAGCCTCTCAACTTGTTTATGACTTCACTCCGCACCAACAATTAGAAACTAATTTGCTGGCAATTGTCGCTAATGGAGAGTGCGAATTGTGAGGTTTTGCTTTGAATATTGTAATAAACAAAGGAGAAAATAGCACGGAATTTCAAAGAAAAGTAGTCAGCTTGATTTCTACAAAAAGGTTCTCAATAATATCAGTACATTTTTTACTTCTATAGTATTTTTATATCACAGAAGGTGAATCTTTTCCTTTAAAAGAAACATATACTTCGTAAATCTCTATCTTCTATAAATAATTTTCCCCATGCAGTTAAAATGTATTCCGTGCATTAAGGTAGTAAGAATTGTTTTTTATTACCGCTGACAGAGTAATTTTAAAAGTCAAAGTATTAATCAGATGGAAAAAACAAAAGTGAAAAAATTAACAAAGGAAAAAAAAAACATATTTTTAGATCCCTCTTTGTTCTATATAGTAGATAAAAACATCGACAATCAAGGTATTATTTAACTCTAAACTGTATCTGACAATCTAATGGGCCATAAAATGGTGTTTATTTGTAAACCATTTACAGAATTGCTTAGCATTCGGAATACTCTCTAGTTTTATGGCCAGGCAGTCAGCCTGTTGATTTCCGATTGCATCACGTGTCATCAGCAGATCAGCGATTCTATATTCTATTCTATCCCATACGCAACTAATGCACAGATGTTGTATGTATATTTGTGACTCAGATTATCTACTGACACACGATCGGCCGAGTGCGGTAAACAATTCTGTGAAATTGTAAACTGCAGTTCGCCCAGAAAGGCAGCACTCAAAATACTGCTATGCGATGCAGTCAATCATGATCCAAGTGCAATTTCCCGGCGGACCCCGCCCCCTGTGGAAAACCACAGCCAAACCTACACAACGCGATATTTTTGTATCTGAACTTGACTCTAGTTTAGCTTTGCGTGCCGCTTTTGTTTGCACAAGATACGAGCTCATCGATGTGTGCATCTGCATATGTACATACGTGTGGGTAAATGGGATTTCGAAATTCGTTTACGTAACACTCGCCCCATCTCCGTACAACCAACACCCATTACGGAATTACGGAAGCGAGGATGGGGCTGGGCAGGGAAAGTCATCTTCACAGATACACAGAAAATAAATATTTGCATTATAAATTGGTCAACGATTCCAAGACAGGTCGTAAGCTAAAATTCTGATCTGTGGAGTACGAATAATCAAATGGTGCAGTTCCCTTTTCCAACCAAACTCATTTTAATTTATCACACGTTATAAAAAATTCTAAAATTAATTCCCCACAGAATAATGATACTTAAATTGTATAATTTTTGACATTTGATTTTGATTAATAATAAAACACAAAGTCTAGATCACAATTAATTTGAACATAGCGTATACGTAATTTATGTAAAATTTGTTAAAAACTTAAAAACATTAATTATTTGATCCTAACACAGAAATCTCAGCCAAAGTCTTATGTGATTTGTATTGATGGAAGAGAGTTTTATGACTTTGGGTGTCACATTGTTGATTTTAACACCTACTAATGTCTAAAGATGTTCAAAGAAAATAATTATCTGATAAAAATGTTTGAGTTTCAAGTTTTTTATAATCCCAATGTCGGAAGATCCTCCTAATAAAATTGTTACCTTTCTTTGTGCCTCTTTATCATTTTTTCCAGTGCGCCCCTTTAATTGCCCAGTGGCGTCATTTGAAACTGTGTTAGAGAGAGGGTATGGATGAATTTGGGGATGTTGATGGGGTGATATTTTTTGGGGGCGGTACTGAAACAGTCTAAATAGAGAAAGATGATGACTCGGCCCAGGTGTTCGCCATATTACGTATGCATCGCGTAAGCTGCAGCTCAAAATGGGCGAAAGAGAGAGAGAGACAGCGACGTACAAACACATGGCTAGAGCGAAAAAGCTCTGTCGACGTCGGCATCGCGTGCTTGTTTTTCGTTCAGTGTGTCGCTCTCTCTTCTACGTCTATGTATGTGTTTGTGTGTGTTTCAAGTTCAAGGTTAAGATACTAGTTGTATATACAATACTCGAGCCATGAGTGCGAGCGAGCTGGCTACACGTAGTTGCCATAGTGCTCTGCTGTACCCGTGTGCATGTGTTTGTGCCTGTGTGGCAAACCAGTTTTGCACGTTTCAGTGCGAGAAAGAGACGCCTACACGTGCAGCACCAAACAAAGAGGAAGCAAAGGCAGAACAAAAAGCAATAAGCAAAAAGCAGAAGCACCAAACACAAAGAAAGGAAAGGCGAACAGTAAAACAAAAAGTGGCGGCGGCAAACATTTACTGGCAAAGAAACTCAACGCGGGCAAACATCACTCGCTCTCTCTCTTACTCACGCAGTGAAGCATCGGCTACACACACAATAAAATTGGTATGATTTTTGGTTATACCAGACACCCATTTTTAGTTGAAACGTTGTTTTTAAACATTTTATACAATATGTATAATATTATATATTTTATACATAGCATTAGAGCTGTCCAAATTTGAAGGAAAATATTGGTGTCCTTTCCTAACCCGCTATACTAAGCGTTTCGCATATAATAACATTTGTTTAAAGAAAAAATGTACTCTTACCTTTAATGAGAAATTAGTTTTGAAACATAGAGACAATTTCGCAACGCCGCAAACTTAAAATAAATAATTTTGGTTGTAGAATACATATGTACATATATTGCTCACTTAAATTTACCATACTAAACAGTGAGAGTAAGGTTTTGGGAACAAACACAATGTCCCAGCAGTGGCATTTAAGCTATGGCTATTGCTTTAAGCTCCAGCTTTTTATCGAAATGTTAACAAATTATCTATTTAACGATTTTGGATCGAATTCTTTTTTACTGTGCAATTGATAAAGTTGATTTTCGTCGTTCGCTTTGCGACACTTATTCGCACTTATTATTGCTCTATGCGTTTTGCCTTTCATTTTTATTATCTTTCACTCACACACACACACGATCACACCCATGGAGCTTTAATTGAATTGATGTTGATGATTACGCTGAGTGGCGACTGCAATCACCCCTACCTCTTCCCCACCCACCCCCTTTCGACCTGTCTGACTACCTGCCAAAGCAAAACGAGAAATTCTGTTGGCCATTTAATTAATCGCCAGCGTGTTCTTACTTAATGGACTCGTAGCTCAACAGTAAACACAGCAAAAAGCTAAAACATCGATACCCCAAACCGCAAAACCCAGAAATTGATTTCATACACCAGACAAAGCATTCCATTAAAAAAGGAAATTACTTGGCGAATTCCACTATTATTTTCGTACTTATATATATGTTCGCACTGTATTATCGATTACGAACACTTATGATTAATAAATCTCTTCTATATGAGAGATATTATTTGGTCTTAAAATGCTGGAATTGTAAGCCAAAATTAGCTACCAGGACTTGAATGTAACAAATAATGCCCCTCAAAAATGTATTTTGGGATTACTTTTCTCATACTAAAACTAATTCAGGCCACACCCGTAGTACATAAATAGCACATTAAACTAAATTCCATTTAGCATAGCGGAGAGTTCGTTGCACCAGCAGTGCAATGCGCCATATGCAATGTTCGATGCACTCGAAAAGACCTTGAGTGGGCGGTGACTAAGGTAGGGGATCGGCGACAGGCGAACCTAGAAAATAAAATTCTATTTCCCCCCTGATTTATGAACGAGGGAGAACGACTCAGCAATGCACGGGACTAAAGGTTTGTCAGCTAACAATGCGACGGACAAAAAAATGTAGTTAGTTAAAGTAATTATATGACTAATTTTTGTTGCAATGTTAGTGCGAAGTAACATAACTTCACCTGTGCTCTATGCGGAACAATATAAAACTAGTTGCTCAAATTTGTAATTTCTTACTTTTCCCTTTTAAAATGAGTCATTTTCCTTAGCAATACTAAGCCAAATATTCCTGGCTTGTTTGTATAAACACAACAATCTCAGAGACTTAATAAGCAATGTCAAAGGAAATTAAAAGTACGAAACACACGCATATAAAGTTTGGTTTGTGATACGAAATGAACAGGAAATAAGTTCCACTGAACTAAAATCAAGTATACGTACATATGCGAACGATATAACAATGAAATTATTGCTAAGCCCTGTTAAAAAATTGTGTAAAAAAAAGTTACAATAAATAACAATTTCGAGGTATTCAAATTTACCAAATAAAACTTGTAAAAACAACCTTTAAATAATGTCCATCTGTATATCGTTTGATTTCCCTTAGAGTATTTCGCAGTGTGGTGCGTGCAAATAAACCGAAAATTCCGCCCTCATAAAATGTGCAAACGAATGGCAAATTTCTTGCCTTCGAAATGTTTGTTTATAGACGGACCAATGGCTAGCGCTCAAATGCTGCGGAATCGATAATGTTAGCCTGCATTTTATCGATGGTACTCTGGTTCTAAACAAAAATCTCTTTGTTTATTTATTTTTAGGGTGGTGAGCTGCGTCAGCATGGAAATTTAATTAGCGACAGTTCAGTTCAGCTGAGCAGCGCTAAGTCGAGAGGATTTGACTGCCCCGACCCCCCAAAACCACCCACCACCCACTCGACAGAAAAGGGGAGATTTCGTTGACTTTTGCATGACGACAGCAAAAAGCGAAAAGGCGGAACAACAATCGAAATGCAACTGCACGAGTGTGTGGGTGTGCGAGCGAGGCGGCCTACATAAAGTAGACATGCGCTCTCGCTCAGCGACTTGAACTTGAAAACTCTTTACTGCCGGCAAAAAACGAGAGAGATGGAGAGCAGGTATGTGTTGAGTGTGTGTGCGTAAGTGTTTGCCATTGATTAAGTTAAACAACAAAATCAGGGCAGAGCGCTGGCTGCGCTCTCTCAGCTTTTGTGTGAGAGAGGGCTTTTGCGTGGGCGGCTTAAGGCAGCGCAGTCGACGTCGCTGCCGGCGTCGGCCAACTGTTTGCTGTTTTGTTGTACTGTAGCCACATACTGTTGCATACTTAAGGGGATAGGAGGACAAGGGGTGAAAAGCGGGAAAATCGGTGGGCAGTACGGGAGGGGTGAAGGAGCAGGGGAGCGGGAGTGACCTCCACCTGTGTGAGCCCAGCTGCAGCTTCCCTTTTGGCAAGTTTATTCAGTGACGAGCGGGCAGCCGATGAGGTCAGCATCACGCATACGCCTAGTTATCCCCAGTATCCCGTATCCTGTTTAGTGTCGGTGTGTGCGAGTTTGTGTGCGTGTGAGTGGTTCGTTCCAAGTTCATTTTAAAGGCGCGTCGCCCTTTATAGCAAAATCAGGTGTGGAGAATTGATTAGCACAGCCCAAAAATAGAAGAAAAGCTGAAACAATATGGTTGGTGTATTGTGTACTTACATAGAACTCAAGTGACGCACGCCAGCATATGGCAATTAAATTTGAATAATTAAGCAGCTGAGAACGACACGACCCGAACTCTCCTCCACACTTATATGTACATACAAATGTACACCACCAACTCACACTTTTGGCATATGCAACACTCGTTCTTGTTGTCTTGCACCTTGACCTTTCCACACCCATGCAGCACTACGCGTGGGCTGAGCAGCATTCGGATACACACGCCCCTTCCAGGGGATCGGGGAAATGGATATATACATATACTCGCTTATGTGGAACAACCCACAAGTCGGCTGGCAGCTGTTGGAGCCGAATCCAAGGCGACGAGATGCACGCCAAAAACACTTCGGTTATCCCCCAGAAAAGGACCAGTTAGGCCAGCGGAAAGTTTTGCACACTAGTCACAGATGGTACAAGTGCAATAAATTAAATATCAAGAAAAGACCAGGAAATAGTCCAAGAGTTATTAGTGGGTTCAGGTAAAGTTTTGGAGTTTATAAAAGTGGTTCAATAAAATATCTTTCGAGAGTAAAGAACTTTAAAGAAAGAAAGGATAATTATCTAGTGAGGTAGATTGTTGTTTGACAATGATTTAGATTTGAAAGGATTTAGTGAACTTAGTGCAACGGTTTTATTAAATTTTAATGTGTATGAAAATATTTTATCAGGGCTTTGATCAAAGGTCAAATGATATTCTGTGACTAGTACTAGAATGCCTAAATTAATGGTAAATTAAACTGGCAAATTAGGAATGCAGAAAATGTGTTATTAATCTTGGTTTTCTATATTTATTTAAAGTAATTATATTCATATTAGACATATAGAAAGTATTGTCGCACAAACAGTTCTATTGTGAAATTAGGGAACAGAGAAATGTAATTTAAGTTAACTAAGAAGTTAATTGCAGAAAGGTAATAAGTGGTAAACTATAATAAAACTATTTCATCAATTTTAAAGGTATTTTTTTTTAGATGGTATACAATAATTAGGACTATATTAACAATCAAAAAATCGTATTCATCAACTCAATGAATTAAAGTGACAAATAAATGAACCAGAAATTTTTTAAAAATATGGTTAAAAGTGTGATCAAAATGATTTAACTGGAAAATTTATATTAGAAAAGTGCAGCTTAATGAAAATCTTGTGAAAACTTCATCTGCAGCTTGGACCAGAGCAAGAAAAGTGGTTTGTGTACTTGCTGAGCTTTCCGCGAAAAGCTAAATTTTCATATGCAACTGCCATTGGGATACACCCTGTGCTCGCTTTGAATAAACTGCAGCAAGTGAACACAGCTGGTGGTATCCAGTGGCCGTTTGGCATCCTTGCAGCTCCAGAAACGTCCAGGATGACTCCTTGCTTCAAAATGGGGTAAGTCTCTCCTCCGATCTACCAGTTTCCTGCTCGGGATAATACCATTTGTTTTGCAAGTCCAATTTATCAATAATTTTCATTTCGTTTAATTGTTTCTTATATTCCGTTACGAACCTAATTTTGCCATACTAAAAAGATGTTCTCTTAGCCATAAGCTTCAGTTCAATTCAACAAAGATTTCATTTCTTCCCAACAAAAAGAAAAAAACAATGAAAAGAGATAAATTGGAATTTGAATAAAATAATCTTAAGACTTAAGAATCGTTTAAGAAAATAATCAGTGAGAAGACAAAAATTGCATATGATTATACTCAGCATTTTCTTGTTACACATTCAAAATAATTATAATTTCGCTTTTGGTTTTCCGCTTGCTCCGATTTTCTTTTTGATTTGAATGTATTATTTACCCCGACTTACACGCACATGGGGGCGGATTGGTGTGGGTTTTGAGGTGCGATAATGGGCGCATCGAATGCAACGCTCTGAAAACTCTTTAAAACATTAATTATGCCCCGCACAAAAAGCAAGCCGTCCGTAGTAATGAGTGAAATTTCAGCGAGGAGCGGCCCAATCAGCTTTAGAAATCGCTGGCAGAAACAATTAAAAAGATCTTCATGCTGCAAATTGATTTTGTTTGCGATTTATATATATTTATTTTCGCCCATTTTTCAGTTTTCACCCAGTCGCGTGCACTTGCTGCAAAACGAAAGCCATTTGGTATTTTCTATTTTCGTTTCGCTTCGGCTTTTTGGCTCAAACATTGGCGATGCGGTGCGATGCAATGCGAATTGGCCAATAGTTCTTGGTCCGAACTGCAGCTGTGCAAAGGCAACTTGGTGACATTATTTCGACATTTGCCTGCTCGCTGCTGCATCCACTTTTGTCACTTTTGCATTTCAAATGACCGTCAATTATCCTTTGTCGACACTCCCCTTTGTCTTTCGCAGTTCTCTTTTCCCTGAGGTCAAGGAAAGCGAAATTGATTTTCTGCCCCAGCGAATTTCTCCTTTCTCCCCCGTGTTTTACTGTTATATATAGTGTGGTACGTGTGCATTTAAGAGTCTTTTCTGCCTTCCTTGTGTCTTATGCAATCGCTGGGTTCTGTCACTGCCATGATTTTTTCGGTCAAATGGCAGTGCAAAATCAATTTTCCCCCGGGGCTAGAAAAACAATTATCTGGAGGGTAATTAAAGACAGTCATCGGCACAGTGTGCATTGTGTTCGACGCAGTTTCGCCTCTCGGTGACCTCATGACAAGTTTTATGATGAAATTAGCTGCGATTGAAGTGCTCGCATATAAAACGCCATCAAATTCAATATAAAACCCGCACTCAAATAATAGACAATGGCTAAGCCCTGTGACTTACGCAATCACGGGATATAGAAATCAAACTTTACATAGCTGCTTTATAAACGGAAATAACAAGTTTATGGCCAAATAATTAAATCATTAATTTATGGGAAACGGTTATAGTTAAACTCTATGTTCAAATGAAGTCGTCAAATTGATTTATTCAACTTAAATAAACGTTAAATTTTTAAAAGCGATCCGCCATTTTTTTATAAGGTAGATTTTTATTTGTTGACCTCAAAGTCATATTTATATAGCATTCACATTTTTAAAGGCTAAGACATTAATGTGGGTTTAATAAGGTGCATGGAAATAATACTATGTCTAGATTTCGAGTAATGAAATTTATATTATGGGATTAGGATGAGAATCTAAGAAATGTGATTTTAATTTTTTATTTTGAGTTGTTTGATTTAAAAACCCCCAAAAAAAATGTTTGTGCCTCACCCAAAAAATTTGTTTCTGCTTACATTATTTCAAATGTAAATTTACCCAACAATCCAACTAAATAAATTCCCCCAGTTGGATTCTGGGGTCGAATTTAGAATGTTTTATTTATTTAAATTTAAGTATTTTTAAGAGGGATCATATGCACTGTTAATATTAATTTTCCCCGGTTTGTCTGTCTGTCTGTCAGCCCACTTAAAATCATTTATCGCACAAGATCGTGTGTCAGCTCTCGTTTTATCGAAATAACATTATAATGGCAGTACGGGCACTAATCACACGAAATGCTTCAGGTCATGCATGACGAGATTAACAATTCCGATAGCAGCTGTTGGCCTCAAGCGGAACAATCGCGGTGGAAAAGCGGAATTTTCAATTTAAGGTTGACCTTAGAACAAAATTTGATCGATAATTTCGCATAATTGTGGAATCTCTCTCGCAAAAAAAAACTGTGACACACGGACACGCACACAGAGAAACGTCACCTTGAACACTTAACTGCAACTGTGCAAGCGAGATAGCTAGAAAGAGAGGTGGAGAGTAGTAGATAAAGAGAGCTAGATAGTTTGCGTCATGTGCAACTGCAAAAGCTTTTGGCTTCCGCTGTTCGTTTGTGTCTGTGTGTGTGGGAGGAGAGAGCTTTAACCGCTCTCCGACTCTCTTTTTAGTGCCGAGTGAGTTAGCTTTTTTGAACGAGCCGAGCAGCTGACAGTTGCGCTTCAGCATTAGACCAAAGTAGTTTGACTTTTTAGTTTTTAGCCGCGAAATGAAAAGTTCCATGTGTGTGTGTGTGTGTGTGTTGTGGCAGCTGCATTTGCAGCGAGAGACAGAAATACATTTCGTACAAAATTCCGCCCTGCATTTAGTATATTTCACCTTAGAGCGTCTTTGCCACACACACACACACTGCATACGAGAGACAGACACACACGTGGCCATCAAAACGGTATCGGTTCGCGTCGCGTTTGGCCTAAAATTGTAACAGTTTTTCTTTACAACGGCAACGGCAACGGCAACAAAGGCAAAGGCAAAGAAAAGCCAAAAACGCAGCTGCAGTCGACGTCGCTGCTGCTGCAGTCGCCGACGTCCGTTTCTGTTGGCCAATTGCCGTTGGCCAGCTTCAGTGTTCATTTTCCCATCGAGTCGGCAACAACGAGCGGAAGTCGCAGAGGCACACAGCTGGCGGACAGTCGATCGATCCACACAACAGCTGATTAACTGCGATTCCTAACCCACATAGTGTTTTCTTCTTTCCCCCTGGATTGCATAAAACCAAAATCGAAACAACAAAACACAAACCAAAAAAGCCCCAACACAAACTTTTTCGGTGGCGTATACGTAATATCAGTCGGCTAGCTGCACATCTGCCATTGCAATTGCAATTCGCTGGGCATTATGCAATGGCACAACAGAGAGACACCCTGTAATTGGCATGGCATGGCATGAACAACACAAAAACAATGGCCGTTCGTTCCCTCACACACATTGTTAAGTAGTTTTTGTGTCTAGTCGGAGGCAATTTGTTAAAAACAATCAGCGGCACTTGTGTGTGCACGGCGGCAGCGGCGGTTTTTTATCCCGCTCGCACCCGCTGCAGCGGCAGTTTTAAATTTAGTATCGCTGCAGTTGCTGCCTGTAACCCAAATTTTGCATCTCTCTGTGCAATTCGTTTTCATCTTATATAAGATGCACGAAACAAAGACCTTGTTAATTGTGGAAAAAGTGGCGGGGGGACGGGAAGGGTAACAACTCTGAGCAAGTGAAATCTCATTTAAAGCCTGGCTTTCGGCGACTTCAAAAAGGGTAGATAAAACTCTGGCGAAGGCAATTAAATCTGAGGCACTTGCAATCCGAGAGCAACAACTCACACTCGACCACTTGACCTTGCTCGGTTTCGCCATGCGAATACAGTACGTATACGTACTGTGGGCCCGTATGAGTGTGAATGTGTGTGTGTGGGGGGGAAACACAGCAAATTGCAATATTTTGTGTAAAAATAACGAACCGACTTTTACATAAGGCCATCGGTACATAGAAAAATACACACCACACACACGCGAATATCCATTCACCTGGCGTGGTGTGTGTGCGTGTGGGTGGGTGTTATGAGGTCGATTTTTGTTGTTTTCCCCCGCACTCGTGTGGGTGGATGACTGAAAAATGCATTTGACACAGAAAACAGGCGTGCAAACACAAACAGATATCGAAAAGCAGATATTTCCAAAGCCAATGCAAATTCAAAACGAACAAAAACGATGAAGAAACAGCTTATCTTGGCCAGAGAAATACAAAAATATTTCAGTGATTCATGGCAAAAATCCCCGATGATTGATTTGATGGCAAAAGGGAATATAAAAACCAGTTTGGAGCTCTGACGGCTTTTTTAGAGTTTAACATATCTAACATATGAGGTTTTAATAAGTTTTCTTTTTGAAGTTTTAAAGTAAAAACTAACACACACGTATCAAGTCAAACATTAAACATTTTTCTATTTTAAAAGTAATAAATTTCTTCTTTGGACTTTGCAGTCTGTTATTCGTTAAGCAGCATTTATAAATAGGTATATACTTTATTATAAACATTCGCCAGAGCTCCTCGATTTTTTGTTCAATTTGCATTTGGATTTTGGACTTTAACTGATATCAGCAGCCGGCAGCCGACATAAGTTGTCATCTCTAAAACATTAGGAAGTACCCCTATAAACAGGTATCATTATGACATCATTGTTGGCGGGATTCTGTGATGGATCATTAGCTACTGGCACTTTTATAGTTTGTGCTTAGTTAGTAAGCTCCAAATGTATCAGCTTCGCCTCCTAATTTGTCAGTCACCCAGACTAAAATGATTAGCACTTGCTGATAAGCATTCTGTATTTATTCAGAATTTAAATTCACCAAATGAATCACGTGTTGTGAACATTTGCTTTTGAGTATTTCAAAGTTTCGAAATATTTTTCTTTGGTTTAAATATGTAGCTATACATTGTGAAATATTCAGTTGCCTTTTGGCTACCAAAGCGACCTTCAGCCCGGACCACAAGGTCGTATGTGGGGAGATGGCAGTGCAGCAGCCTGCAAACTACTCCGCATGGAGGTCGATCTGCCCCCTCTCACCATCGCTCACTCTACAGCAGTTATGTAAAGACAAAATTGGGTCAGTGTTATGACCCAGTTTCTTGGAGGGGAGCCAGCCAGCAAAACCCCTGCAACTTGCAGTTTGATTAGTTTGAAACGGGCTTTTTGGCACCTCCGATAATTACAATGGGCTTCGTGCCGCCGTTTATTGATTTTTAGTCAGCCCGTCAGCTTTTTTAGTATAGCCAACCTAGATAGCTCTGGCCTGGCCTGGCCCAAGAGTATTGGTATCTATCGGATACACGGCACCATCCATGGCCTGGCTGCAGTCGTGAGCTGAGCCAAGGAGCCAAAAATAAAAATTCTCTTTGGCTCCGGGCCAAATGCAGTGCACATTGGATTGGCAAGGGTGTGGATTGGAGGGCGGTTCATTTGCGGGTAAAATGAAAAGTGAAATGTTGCCATGCCACGAACGACAAAAAAAAATAAAAGGAAGCACAGAGAGAGAGCGCTGCAGAGAATTTATCTATATTTATTTGCCAGAATTCTGACATTTATTAGTTTGCCGTTGAATTAAGTCGAAGAGTGCTCTATAAATATGGCTAAAATGCAGTCGGATGACAAATTTATGGCCCACCGCATAACTCATCTATTACCCACTTTTGAACCCCCCTCCTCCGCCACCTTTGTGTTGCAAATTCAATGCACACTTGTGTGTCATTTCGCCTGCCACTTATTACATCACCCAGTAGGCAAAAGACACGACACGGTGCCATACGATATAGACACTGCTTGAGGCCCATTACGATTTGGGTCAACCTGAGCCTGCCAGCAAATCTTCACACAAACACGCGCCCTCATAGACACGACTTTATCGATGTCTTTTCGCCCAAGTAGCAGTCCGATTGTTGTTCTTTGCAAAACAATTTAAACATTGATGAATTCTCTCGTCAGTTATTCGAAGAAAGTTGCTCAAAGTATCTGCATTATTTAAATGTGTCGGAAAGAGTAAGAGTTTGTGGTTGTTAGAAAGACAAGTAAAAAATGCTTTTTCTAAGAAATTTTGTTATAATTTAGCTACAATATCTAACTATTCAAATTTGAAGACCTTTATTCCAATTACAAGCCACTATGCAAAGAAATTTTTAAAGAACACCTACTTTGTATAATACAAGTTCATTTTGATCAACTATCTTCAACGTTAATATTTCGTTTCAACACATTCCTATACACATAGATCAACATGATTATTGTTTTGGTCAGACCTTCCCCTATTTCTCTATTTTTTCTTTCATACGCACGCAGCGCTGGTCTTCATGATCGTCTATTAGCTATCACGCCTTTAACGCATGACTCAGTTCCTTTTTGTTCTTTTTAATTTTAGACAAAATTGCCATAAAACCAAAGCAAAAAACTTGTATGCTTGAACAGCGTTCGTCATTAGTTAGCTGCGTCAATTGTGGACTCTGTTATTTATAAATGCCGCTGGGGCAGCCACGTAAATGGTGACGGAAAGAGAGATAAGTTATGGAATTTCTTACTTCCAGCTTATCGTGGATACATTTCCATATTGCTCTGTTGCCAGGCGAATAATCCGCTCTCAGAAAACTGATGAAAAACGACGAAAAAGAAATCATTCACAAAAATTTTTATAAAATGTGGCCAGACAAGGGCTGCCTTCGGTTTTGGACTTGTCTGGCTGTTGTTGTTTCCCGTCTGCAGATAAAGAATCGAATAGCAAACATTCCGCGTCTGTGATTACGTATACGCAGCGTTCACCGAGCGATAGGTTTCCCCCCTTTGCGGGTGCACGCGTGCTTGTGCCTACGAAAATTCATGGGTGTATCTGTATCTGAGTCAGTCGAGTGTGTATTTACCAGATTATAAGTGCCGGAGCCAGTGTGCGTGTTGTTCAGTTTTGTGTGGCTGATCATGCGACCCACCGAATTAAAATGGGGAAACGCTTTTTCCATTTGATACTCTTTGTCGTGGAACTGCGACTTTGATAGCCCCTATTTTTAAATAAAGTAAACAAAAACAGTTTTTTATAAAAAATTTTTTTTTTTCCGGAATTAAACAATAAGTTTTCTTTAAAAAAATAAATGTTTTCACCCTTTTTCAAAAGATTTTTTAATTTTAATACTTTTTTAAATGATAATTTAATTTTTCTTTAACGTAGGTAAAGTTTTTTTTTTTAAATAAAAAGACAGAAATTTGTTTGTTTAAAAATGTTTTTCATAATACTAAATTTTGTATTTGGTATATATTTATTTCTTGGAAATCAATAGTTAATTTCTATATACCACCAAAAAGGTTCGTTTCATGTTTCACGTTATTATTTTGGCTATTGCAATTCTTTTTGGCCAAGTCAAACAGTAATTTATCTAAGTAGCGTTATGGCCCTCTATTTCGGTTTGGTAACACTTCGGGTCACTTCCGGTGACGACAACTTCTTTGAAACTCCGTCGGCTGGCAGTGGCAGCTTTTATGACCCAGATAAAAGTAAACGTGTTGGCCAACACGGTGGGGAAAGAGGAAAGGGGAAGGGGCGGGACTGAGGGGCCATTGGTTCATGAAGTGCTAATGAAAAATGCTCAGCATTTGCCTAATGAAATTATAACCGAGCCACTAAGTGGGCCATAAAGAGGAGCGCACAGCTTAGGGGGACTGTCAGAATGGGGAGAGAAGGTGTTTTGGGGCATTTTAGAAATTTTTCATTCAACTACTACGAGGTCGACCATGTAACCCATTTAACGCACATGGAAACGAACGATTTGACAGGCCAGGCACATGGAAGCACATTTTGTTTCTTTATTCAGTTAACGCTTTTTAAGCTCATGAGCTAGCTTTTCATTTATCAATACACACTTGCGCACACAGCGACACAAATGAACAATAATTTATTTAATTGCCCGAGCTCTTGTTCTTTCGAAATTAGAACACACACACGCACACACCATTCTCGCTGGCACGCGATTAAAAAAACTAAATGGTTACACACATTATGAATTTTACAAGCTAAGACTGTTTATTATCTGTCAGATATTCCACTCCATTTGTGCATGTGTGCATACAGATGACACATCGCGTATACGCAGTGTGTTTGCACTCATGTTCGTTCGGTTTTTTAACATTGCGACATTTCAGTTTTGTTTTGCTCCACTCGACAATCAACGGTTTGGGATTGTATTTTACAATAATTGGAAGCATTGGTCTGGCTCCTCCACTTCTTGCCTTTGTTTGTTTGGGCCCAATGCCTGCTCAATGTTTTGGCCCCGTTTTTGGATTTATTTTCTGTTTATGCGCCACACCTAGAGGCAAGTAAAAAGCAGCCAAGCAAGTCGAAATTGAAGGCTGCAGTGGCCAAACTGCGCCAATGTGCCGGAATAGAAATGAATCTCTGCTCCAGAAAACATTGGGAACTTCTTTGACGAGTTAGGCATGTTCCTAATAAATTCGGCACTGGATTACTTTTTGAGCAATCAGCTTATAATCGCCCTGCTTATCTTATCTACCCTTTGAAAATGGGTGCCAGTTTCGATTCGGAGGGCATTTCATTCAGTTTCCGCCTAGACTTTACCAGCTTACATACTGACTGATGGGCCAGAGCATAAATGGAAAAAACTCAGGCCGAATGACATTTGGTGACACACAAACGACTTGTATAACCGATCGGCGATTGGTAATCAGCGATCCACATCGACCCACTTTATACACACACCCCTCGGGGCCCACCTACATATGTATATATATCGCCCCGATCCGCTGGTTTATAGCTTATCACTATCAGCTGCGCACCTTGGCACCTGCGACTGCTTATCACCTGTTTCGTGAGCGTTGGGATCGGGTTCTTAGCTCATGGTTCATTGTACTCGGCTTCCCAGTCCCATTCCCGTTCCTACTTCACCTTTGTTCTGCATGCGTTTGAGCTTTGTTTGATTGTTGGAGTTACCTTCGTTTTCGGTTTTTGTCGAATCCAATCCAGTAATAGCCGCCAGGAGATCCATTGACTGGTCCAATAGCTGCCAATGACACTGCCCCCACAAAAACGCGACGCCGTGCCGTGCTCAACATAATTTTAGTTTTTGTTTCAGTTTAAAATAAACGATTAAATGAAAATGCATCCTTTGAAGGTTTTGGGCTGCGTGTCAGGAGTGCATTTGCACTGAAACATTCTGAAGCATGTAAATGCACTATCTGGTACGACATTCCAGAACGTACAATCTTCCCGAATGCAAGAAAATGCGAATAATAAATGAAATATGCAATTTTTGTGATAGTGTGATAACCGATTCTCAAACTGATTTTTACTCTAAATATATGAATAAGAAATAAATAAGTTTACTCTTAAGATACATATCTGTAAGACACTGATTTTAAATAAAGAATTTAATAAAATATGAATATCTTCTATGAAGAGTTTGAACTTTATATGTATTTTGTGGTTTTATTTGTTTCATCAAGGGAACTTTGAATGAAATAAACAATAGATGTGCATGGAGGAGTAACCTTCGTCTGCAAGGTTTCTTAGCCACGACATCGTAGAGCTGGCGATGACCTTGAGCACTCCGACTCAAATTGGCTCAATTATAATTATAGCAATTGTACCCCAGAGGTCTTAGATGGCAAATTAAACTTGGCTTGCCCAGAGATATATTATTTATAATGGAAATCAAGGGAACTAGATTTTTTTTAGAGAGAATCAATGCTATTTAAATGGACAGTTTTTAGAGAGAAATAAAGCTAGAACGTCCTACACAACCGGAGGGAAACTTTCACAACTCTAAAATTATTACCCATACAGTTTAATTTAAAAACTAAAGGCTAACATTGCATATTTTACAGCGGTATTGCGACAGAGCACCCCTGACGCCGCCCGAAAGAGCTTTCGTCGACACGCAACGTAGCATAAAAAGCAGCATATCGGGAAACCCCCGAAATCCCCCTTTGGGAAGTCCCTCCACCCAACATCGGCCAGAAGGTGGCGCTCGATGCCCGAAAAGCTCGGCGAACTGAAGTTGCTTGAAAACGTCCGCAAGATGGTGAGGTTGAAACGATTTCGGTTTTTGAATAAAATATTTAAACAAAAATAACCGTTGAACCTTATGTATGTTTTGTCTTTCCATCAATCATCAAGATCCCGAATGAATTAACCAAATTAGTGACACCGCAATCAAGTAACCTCAATTGGCTATGCGCTTTGGCAGTGTGGTTAGCTGGTTGTGTAGCCAATTATTGCCGTTGACAATTCACAGCCACTATCTTCACTGCCGCCGCGACAAGCTAAAGCAACGATAATGGTATATTGGATTGGGGCGAACGGACCCCCCGCAATCCGGATGGTAGGATAGTTCCTGTACCATCATCGAGAAGAGCTTTGCATCCAACTCTTCCATGGCGATATGCACTGCAGCTTCTCCAATATCGATATCTTCTAAGAAATCCGGTAGTTTTAACTATATTTTAAAAGGTTGAATTCTAGAAAACATGTACAGTCGATTGAAAAGTAACTTTTAATTTATCTAAAAACCAATAATACAATTCTGGTAGCATTGAGCCCATTGGTAATCCGAAATGTCTAAATATGTATAAAGTATAATGCCATTAAAAGAATTGACAAAATCGAGCCAAGATGTTGCATCCGCGAAAACAAATCATTCAGCAAGAGGGATATCTTTGATAAAATTGAGTAGAACACTTCCAAAAATAATATTCTACTAATCTACGATGAAAAAGCTATGCTAGATTACCAAATACAAATATATGCACGCTTTAAAATTTTGTAAACACAAAAAAAAATTAAATTAACCATTTCAAAAAATTATCTAAGTAGGAATAAAATTGTAGTTCATTTAAATAAATATAACTATCCAAAACTCCCAGAGTGATATATATCTATACTACATTTGGCAAGAAAAACTGAAATAAATTTGAACGTTTTTTGTTAGATGGTTTGTTTGTTTTATATATATAAATTTTAAATTAATAAAATTTACTTGCTATATTTCTATTCTTTATAAGTTCTTCTTTATATAAATAATAAATTTAAATCGCACATTTTTCTCATTATATTTATATTATTACGTTTATGTTTTTATGCAGTTTTGTTTTTGTTGGATTTTTGTTTTTATTTAATTTGAATTACACAACATTATTTAGATTTATCTTTATCGGTACCGTTATCGTTATCTCCTTCTTTAATGTATGTTAAAATGTGTTGTTGCTTTTCTTACATATTATTGACACTGTTCTTCCAAATAAGAGAGAAGAGTTGTTCTGTTTTGCTTCTTGTTGTTTGTTCTTAAATGGTTTATGGTGGCTTTACATTGTATTTATATTCCTTAGTTGATGTGATCTGCTTGCTTGAACTAATTTAAATTATGTTAGGGGCTTCTCTATTATGGTTTCATTCAAATGTTCCGCATTTCTCGATGATTGTGTTTAATGCTCTCGACGCTGCACGTTACTAGCGTTAAATAATTTAAGAGTATTTAATAGAGGACTAAGTTAGTATACGCTTTGTAGGTTTGGTGAAGTAAATTATATATTTATAAAACAAAATCAAATTCAATGCGTTTTCCTTCTTGTTTGTATGAGCGAGCGTGTATGTGAGAGTTGACGTTAGTGTATTTTTATGGTGTATGCGGGTGAGTGTGGTGTGTGTGTGGGGATGTGTTAATAATAGTACATAAATACAACATTATACAAATAAGAGAGGATTTCCATGTTGTAACGAACAAAATAAACAATGAAACGCTGCAAAAGCTCAAGACGAACATGTTCATTTCCAACATACACCTGCAATTCAACTTGTTTGTCTTGGCTTTTGTCTGGAGCCGCGTTCGTTTACTTTGTTAAATTTTATAAGCAACATCTAAACGCGCCATGGCATTTACAATGATAAACTAAACAATAATAATACAAAAATGATGGTAAAATTGAAAAACCTGCTTGGCGATTAAGTTGTTGCATGCACGAATTATACACAAAAAACAGATAGACTCATTTAAAATTAATTTAACCAAAACAAAAAATGCAATTATATTATTCTCGTTTTATTATAATATGCATATAACTAGAAACTTTTCAAGTCGACGCAATGGGCGCTTTAGAAGCACCCGTTTCGTCAGGTTTTCTTTTCGAAAAACTACGCTAATTGCCCGGATTAGAGTTAAAGTTTTAGTTTACATATTTAATGTTTCCCTTTCGATTCGTTCGTTTTGCTTGTTAATAAATTGCCTTTGAATTTGTTTTATACATAAATATAATTCATTTTGATTGTTATTGAAGCTTTTTCAGTTTCAATTCAAATTATAAGCCTAGGCATGAATTTTCTTTTATTTCTTGTTTTTCTTTTTGTGTATAATTCGAACTGTGTGTGTGTGAGTGTATCTGTATGTGTGTTAGTATATGCTTTTACATTTGTTACATATTTCATGTATTTTAATTTTTCGTTTCCTTTTTTTAGTTACTCATATAGTATCTCAAACAATTTGTTAGTGACTGATGTTCTGGCTAATGTTGTTGTTGTTCTAGTGTCTGCTGTTGCTTGGATGTGTTGTTGTTGTGGGAGTTGTTTCTTGTGTTATGTGGCGGTAATATTCAATGACATTAACATGAATATTAGACTGCCCCCGCTGCGCATACAACATTGTTACTCCATTCAACAATGTGCAATTTGTGTTCATGTTGTTCTTCCCATCTGTTAGTTCGCCCACTTGGCTTAGGACGTGCCATTGACCAGGCCCTCTTTTTTGACATTCTCCGTCAGCTGCTGCTGGCCGGTAGGCTGGTCCGTGTGGTTGTTGCTGCGATTCTTGTTGTTACGTCGCGGCTTCGGCTGCTGTTGCTGCTGTGGCGCCTGTGGTTGCTGCTGTACCTGCGATGGTTGCTGCTGTTGCTGCTGCTGTGTGCCCGCCTGCTGCTTGTCGCCGTTGCGTGAGGCATCCTTCGGCTTGCTCGCACCGCCAGCGGCGTTCGCATTGCCGCTGTTCTGTTTGCTGGCATCTCCGGCATTCAGTGCCGCCTTGTTCACAGGCGCCGGCGGCTGCGGTTGTTGTTGTTGTGGCTGCTGCGCCGACTGGGGTTTGTTGTTGTTGTTGGCCACCGCTCCGTTTGCTGCAAAACCACCACAATAAGTATGGAGGTAAGTTTGGGGTAGGTTAACCCACAGCAGCTAATGCTACTTACTGTTACTGGGCCCATTGTTGTTCTTCTGCCTTCTGCGCCTCCTCGAGCTGCCCTCGTACGATGAGTTACTGTCCGCTGTGGATAGTGGGATAATGATTTAAATATTAATATGCACTAGTAATATCCAGTAAAAAAAAAGTCGGTCTTATTTAAAAATACAGGTGGCAATATAAATTAACCGAAACTAATTAGCTTTCACAGCAGACAGAACCTTTTGTCACACTACAAGTTAAAACAAGATCATGATTTTTAGTTAAGAAATACAATTTTTACTTGGACTCAAAAATGTTCAAGTAAGTAATTTAAAAAAGCGGTGTTTTTAATGGATTTTAATAGGTCATCTTTTTGTTCTCCTAACCAACCGATGATTTTAATAATCGGATAAGAAAATAAGGTAAGGTCGAAGGTAATATGTAGAAGAAACTAGAATTTTTTCGGGATTTCACTGTTGCACAATTTTTCATTTTTTCAATCTAGACTATATCACCATAAACTGCGTTTGGCTTTATATTACCCATTGGTTTACAGCAATAGTGAAAATAAGTGCACTTTCTGCACATCTCTAATTAAAATAATAATTAAAAAATGTATTTAGAATTTTCATTCTCTTAATAAGTTTATTATGATCAGTTACACAAAAAACTAATATGATGTCATTTGATTTATTTAAATTAGAAGCCTAAACATATATGAAAATGGGAAACAGTCCTTATCTTAAAATAGTACTCTTTAATAGTTAATAAACTTGCTGTACAGATTCTCGTTTTCTTGACCCCACATGATGTCCATTAAACGGAGGGGGAGGATCGAGTTTTCACTTTGTATCTTGTTTGAGCGCGCGAAATAAATTGATTCAACTAATTGGTTAATTGGCAGCATGATTCACGGAACTCACCTCTCTCCACACTGCTCACTTCTCGGGTCTCCCGCACCTCCTCGGCGGTGTGGTTGTGGTGCTGATAGTCCCTGCCGTTCTGCTGCTCGTTGCGTGGCGGCCGGCGGTTGACGCCTCCGCGCCTGTTGTTGCCGGCACCGCCAGCACCACCGCGATAGTTGCCGCTGTTGTCGCCGCTACCGCGATCGTTGTAGCCACGCTGCTGGTCGCGCTGATGATCTCCCCGCGAATTGTAGTCGTCCTCATCGCGGCGATTGTTGTGGTAGCGCTGATTCAGACCGTTGCCGCCACCAGGACCACCGCCACCACGTCCACGTCCGCGACCACGCTGACCGCCGCCACCGCCGCGCATTGAGCGCACAGACTCAATGTCGCTGCTGTAGCCGCGTTCAGAACGTCGCGTGACTGGGAAGCTCTGTGTGGAGCCCATGGAGGATTCTTGGATGGCGCGAAGCTGCTGATCGATCTCCAGTTTCTCCTGGCGCAGCTGTTCCACTTCCTAAGGGGTTATAGCAAAGGAAAGGATTAATAAATCCACATATGTAGAAGAAGCCGATGTTTCGATTTTAACTATTGCAGACTCCTCGTTTCAAATTTATTCTTATTACAGAAAAAAGCAAATGTATGACTTTGTATATCTCTTTAAAATAATACATTAAAACATTAGTTTTGGGCAATAAGAGCTTGCCTTAAAAAACTTTGAGCCCCTGAACCAGATTTGGCAATTATAAAAATTCGATGGAATTTGGTGAAAGAAAAACCGAAAAACGGCAAATGATCTCTTAGAACTTACCTTCAGATGCGACAGATGATACTCCAACAGCACTTTGGCATTCGCAATGCTCTCCACGGTGCCAATGAACACAAAGGGTACGTGCGCCAGCTCACGTGGGATATTCTGATCCTGCTCGTCGTCGCCAGCGATCTGCCCGGAAAAGATTAGAACTGGCCCGCGTTTAGCGCACAATACTCACAGCACTCACCTTGATTCGAAACACGCCACTCTTGTCCACAATCTCCTGGATGATGCGCCCGTTCTTGCCGATCACCTTGCCCACCAGCTCCCTGGGCACCTGGAAGAACTCCTCGGCGTATTCGAGCATGGCGCGGGCACGCTGCACGGACTCCTCGGTCTCTCCGCTGATCTTGAATGTGCAGGACTTCTCCTCCAGCTCGATGTTGGTAACGCCGACCAGCGTGCGTGCCGCTTGTATATTCGAGCCATGCGAGCCAATGGCCAAGCCCATGAGATCGTCACGCACACGGAACTCTTCAACGTAGTTTCTGCAGAAAAATAAATTAAAATCAGTATTATAAGGGATTCGGTTAAAAAATAAACGACATTTGATATGCCTTTTTTGCAAATGAAACTTACCCACGGCTCATTAGTTTAGTCGTTTCGAGCTGACGGGCAGCTTCTTCAGTCCTTTTCAACAGCATAACCTGAAAGTATTATACACTTTAGAAGTTTCCGTTAAAAGCCTAAATTATATTTCTAAGAGACATTACCTTCTGTGAGAGATTACGAAAATGCATATCCTTGAGCATGCTGGCGCGCTTCTGAGTGTGCTCCCACTTGGAGATGACGATCAGGGCGTCCAGATCGCGACTGTAGTTGCAGACGCCGGCATCGATTGTGCGCTGAAACTCCTTGTGTATGCCATCCTTCTGGGCTCTATAATAGTAAAAGGACAAAATATAATGATGGACTATTAAAAAATATATTTAAAAGACACTCACTCTTCGCGCAACTCCTCGGGAACGGGCAGCGTAAACTGATAGAAGGATTTGGCTGTAATTGGCGGATTCGAGTTTTTGGCGCGCAGACGCCCCAGTTCGCAGATTTCGGTGTAGGGCGTCTCAAAACCTATGTATGCGACCGCGCAGATGTCCGCTTTGAGCATTTTGATGATGGCCACCCACCAGCCGCAGGTTTCGCGCTCGTTCGTGCGCGTGAACACCTCCACCTCCATGCCCTCTTCGAATATCGGAGCGGCCACCTCCACGGTTTCCTCGGGCGGCAGGCGAACATTCACAAATGGATATTTCATCACCTCGGGCACGCTGCAACAAAGCGTGTGCAAAGAAAGCAGATTCAATTAATTAAGGTGCACTTGTTTTTTATGCATACATGTCCGCGGACAGGTGTTTGCAGAAGCTTCTGCTGCTGCTGCTTCGCTGGCAGAGGGCCAAGGCACAACAACAACCATTGTGGGGGTGCCCCGGCAGACCCATGTCCACTCCTATAGCCAAACCCATCCCGAATCCCGCCACGAAACACAGATCGGAAATGCCACACAGTCGGACAGGATTGTGGAGCAACTAAATTTAGATCCAGCTGCTCAGCTCAAGTGGATCTCGGTGTGCAAGAGATGGAAGACAACAAAACTAAATTAAAAAACGAAAAAACATTCGTTCCAAAAATGTCACAAGAAATGCAGCAGGCACACAAAACAAAAACCGAAGAACTGGCGTAAACGAAAGCAATTAAAAATAGCTAAACGACGATTTTATACTCTTTCTATTTTATCGGTAAAAGCTAACACTCAAACCATACAAACCATTTCCTAGTTAAAAATATTTTTTTTAATTAAAAGACATGTCTAAAAAATTATAAAGTTTGGCTATTTGTTTAAGTCACAAGGACAAAATATGGTGCTTAATGCTTTTCAGTGCCACTTTCTGTCGTTTAAAAATAGGCAATGACAACAAAATTTTAGCTTCAAGAAACCATAAGTCAAATCAAAATGTTGGGCAATAATAATAAATCAAAATTCCGTCAAGGCAAAAAGGTAAACTGCCTAAAGAAATCTTAAATGTCACAAAGTTTTAGAATCTACATACATAATTGACTGGAAGCTGAAACTTTAAAAATTTTAATGACAATGATGATTGTCTCAATATAAACTTCAAAAGAATTTAACTACATGTTCGTATGCTCGTTTAGAAGTATTATTAGGCAAGTTATTTTAAGTAAACCATTAAATTAGGCAAACTTAAAAAGCAAAACCAGCCTGTTTAATGATTAAACCTACAAATATAGAAATTCTGGTTACAAGCTGGTCAGTCAGAGCTTCATAGCCGAATAGGTAATGAATAAATATAAATGTTGTCTTTCCGCGGTTAAAAATAGTCGCGCCTTTTGACGCTGGCCGTCGTGTCAGCGCCGCTGGTTAGTGGCATTTGTCGCTCGCACTTGACAGCTTTTGGCAGAGATGGAAGCCATCCCCTACTCCTCCTCCATTGGGAACTTCCCAAGTCAGTGGGGCGGACAATCTTGGACGGCGTTGGTCAGTCCGTCAGTCAGAAGTTTGCTCTTTTTTCGCCAAGAAACTAGTGTTTGTGGTACTGCAGCGGCACTGGCGTTTAACAAATTGCGCCAAATTAAAGATTCCGCTGAAGGGAAATGCGGAGGGAAGCGAATGGCGGACGGACGACATTAATGATGCGTGCCCAGCATCTCTAATTTCTAATTTGGATGCCAAGAAGTCCCGTCGGTGGTTCTTGCCCCCGGTCTGATTGTATTAATTGGTGCAAATTAGTTAGAAAATGCGTTCTAAAAGTTGTGGTGTATCCGATGTGTTTGGTTGTTGTTTGCCCTGTTCGCAGATTTGTTTGTTTGAAAAAACTTACCCGTCCACATCCACAAAGATGCCATCATCGCCAACAGCTGTCACCTGGCCCTGTGGTTGTTGTCGCAGTTTTTAGTTTTCAGTTGTAGTTTTTTGTTTGCGGCAGCAAGCGGATGAAATACAAGTGCATTGACAGGGCCAGCATCGGGAGGTATAGAAGTAGAGAAGAAAATGTGTGTCATTAATGTAGGTATTGCCTACAATATACGCATATATTAACCATATATTTCTATGATCGCCCCACCCCGAAACAGCCGACAAACGATGAGAAATCTAGAAATGCAAAAGCTTTCGAGAGTGGAACCCCACATCACCGATAAGCGAGTAGAACCTTATCCGAAATGCAAACAGCCGAGTGCTGAATCATCATCATCAGGGAAGTCTCTCTAGCGAGTGTGTTTATATGTACTGCAATTGATTTGTTTGCGAACACTGTAATCAAAGGCAGCGCTATGCGAAGTATTCTTTACTAGTTCTTCAGTATTCCAGAAGTTTCCACGAACCCATTAGGATAGTAGTAGAATGAACCTAACTTGCATTTAATACCAAAAGCATTCTCAAGAAGTAAATATAAAATAACATTATTAAAATAAGCAATCATAAATCCCATGGTCAGGTCAGGCTATTTCATTAAAAAAACGTATCCTATTGCACTAACTCTCTATTAAATATTAAAACATTTTTAAGTTAACCCCTAATGATATACTAATGTACATAAATGAACTAATGCACATTTTGAATTGTATCTTGTGTGTATATTAAAAGTAATGATGTTGATGAACTGGAAAAAAAACAGTAAATTAAGCTCATAAGACACAATTCATTGTATTTTCAAAACAATAAAAATTACATTATTTTAAACAGAATTCGTCTGTCGAAAGGTGCAAAATAAAAATATAGATTAAATTTGTAAAAAAACATCTCAAATTACTTAATCTTATATCAAAATATATTTGAAAATGGATAAGTCATGAACCGGAAAATATGAGTTACTGTTAGCAGTCAAAGTGGGCTTAAGAACCCAGTTAGCCCGTAATCTTATCTGGCGAATCAATAAACCGCGAATTGCAATGTTTTAATGTCCTTAACTTTATAAATTGCAACGTTTAGAAAGGGAAATCACCAAAACAACAAATATGAATGTCCGACGACGTCAGGCGGCAGCGCAGCAAGCAGCGCAGTCTGCGTCGCCGTCGACGTCGGCACCCCCACAACGCAGTGTGCGTGAGTGCGTTGGTGTATGCGTGTTGGTATTGGTATAGTGGTGGTGGTGGTGGCGATGATGTCGAGACTCCACTCAAAATGTTGCCGTTTATTTATAGAAATAAAGCTAAAATCCACGAAATTAGAAACTGAGGCAGCTGCTGCCCCAACTCCGTGCCTCATTTTTTCACCCTCTGGTTATCTTAGGGAAACCTTTTCTTCCGCTTTGTTAGAACTAACTCACCTTGTAGTAGGCGCCATTGTCGAGCCGAACTTCCACGAGAAGATCTTCCATGTTGCTGGTCGTGGGGCCTCCTGGTTTTTCCGCTTTGTTTTGGTGGTTCTTCGCCGTCCGTCCCTCCTGCTGATGCTGCTGCTGCCCAGCCTTCAACTCCCGACTTTTCCCCGTCGACTGCAGTTTGCCGTGTTATCTAGGGTACCTACAGGGACACAAATATTAGATTTTCTTAATTTCAAAGAGATAATACCCACAATTCAGTGTGCAGTGGCAGAATCCTCGCGTTCCTGCTCTTAATTCCTTGTAATTAAATCAGTCTTTTGCTTTGCGGCTGCTAAATGGTGTCTAAAAAGCAATAACAAAAATGGAATAGTTTTGTTTTCTGGATGATTTTTTTTTGGGGAGGGAAATATATTTTTGACGCACTGGCAGTCAAAAAAAAATTTTTGAAGTTATTTTGGTGCCAGAAAATTCCTGGCAGCCAACTGAGACGCTGGCAGCTACGTCGGCTGCGGCAGCGACTTTGCCGGCAGCGCAGCAGCGTACTGCTTCCTCTTCTTCTTTGTCTCTTCTTTTGCGCGTGTGTGTGTCCGCCGCCGCACACACACTACGTTAATCAAGCGTGTGCGCGCTCTCTCGCTCTCCCTCTCTCTCACCGCCGAAATGTTTCGCTCTCGTTCGTTCACACCGATGAGCACGCTTTTCCAATAAGAATTTCACGCACACTACAAAGCGGCACATGCCGAATTTACATATCGAATTTACACATAATTTCCACACTTGCTTCCGTTTTACCCGTTTTTTTTAAAGAAAATCCATCAGAGTTGCGTAGCTTGTATTTTATCGCTTTTCCTCTTTCAGCTGCTCCCTTTTGCTGCTGCGTCGCCGCCGCTGCCGGCAGAGAAGCGGCGTCGCTGCCGCAGCCGACGTAGTCGCCGCCGACGATGTGCAAAATTTTTTCGTTTTTTCGTTTTTTTTTTGGTTCTTGCAAAATTTTCTGAGCGCTTTTTGCTGCTGTAATACACAATTGGCTGTAAAGATAACAAAACTTACGGCTGGCCGGCACTTTTGCACTTCGTTTGCGCTTAGCGGATGCTTTTTAATGCGGCTTTAACCTTTGAAAATACAAAATATATCGCGTGCAGTGCTGCTTCAATTTTTTTCGGCTGCGCTGCGTTCTCTTCGTTTTGCTTTTGCACAGTTTCGCAGCTCGGCAACGTTCCGCCGGAGTTGCCACTTAGACGCAATCGGCGCGCGTTGCTGGCCACTTTTAGTGGGTTTGGTCGGTTGGGTAATGTGGCCAAGGGCTTTGAACTTATAAAAATAGAAAACTAATTTCTTGATAAATCATTTGTGCTGGATAACACGGGGTTTGCTTGAAAACATTTACAAAATAATGTTTGACAGGAGGGTCAGCGGTGTGGCAATGCTGCAAGGTGACAGCTGGCTGGGCGTTGCCAGAATGGCAAAAAAATGCTGGGTCACAATGGGCAGGGTGCAGCCCTTTAGGCGCGCAAGGCGGTTACTTTTTTAAAATTTAAATTGCTGATAAGTAAAATTAAGTTATGTATGTAAATTGATGAATTTTAATGGCTGCTCCCGATTGACTGCTCACTTCTGGCGACTAATTGAATTGCTCGTCCATCAGCAGATTGAATCACATGCTTGGCGCTGTTCAATTGATTTGATTCGATTTTAATTTTTTGAATTGCTGGCCACAACGATTCCCGTTAATGTAATTGTGCTTGTAATTGCAACGACTATTGGGGTCAACAGTGTGCGCAATTTGCCCCATGCGGTATTTTATTTGCACTTTCTTTGCCCCTTTGATTGCCCGCAATCGCGTGACGTTGCTAGCGCCTTTTGTCAACACGCTTGTTGAATTTGTTTCTGCCATTCATCAAATGCACCTGATGGTGAGTGGCCGATAAAGCGGTTAAAGGTGCACTGCATTCTATTTATAACCCCATTTTCATCAATTTTCAACGAATCGGACAGCGGAAATCTGGCAGAATACTAAAGACAGGCGAATCTCAATAAATGATTACAGGTTTCTAAATAGTTAGAATTATCTTTCCTATTAACTGCATTTTTAAAACACATTATTTATTCGCATATAATATTTTAAAATAAATACATATTTTTCAAACCTTTTAAGAATAAAATGTTCATGTAAAATATGTTTATATGGTATGTTTATATTGAGATAAGAGACCTCGAGTTCGAGGAAAAATATTTATTTTTAGCACTATAATGACAATTATACAAACTTAACCGTGTCAAATCAAGAAGTACGACTGTATTTTAAGAGCATGTCATTTTGTTATTTGTGTGGTCAAAACAGGGCTACAAATTGCAACAATTTAATGGCCAGGTCAAATGTCTGTGCAGCACCAACACCCTGCACACAGGCTTTTCCCATTTCTCAGCTAGTTTCTTGGCTACAGGGTATCAAGATTCGCAATTCGTTAGCCATAAATTACCGCTCGTGTTGCCGGTAATTACCATCAAGCAACGATTTGTTGCGGAAATGCATTCTGATTTTTTCTCGCCCAAAACGCACCCACCCCGTCCTCCTTTCCATCACATTTACTACCCTTATTTAACCACTTTCCCACAATTTAGAAAAATAAGAGCAGCTGCCGTTTGACATTGACTTTTGTTCCGCCTTTTGGCACATTAACTGCACTTTAATGACGTCGACATGGCACGGTCAACAAAAGACAAAAATCATCCGCGACGACAGCCTCTCTGCTCCCCATCTCGCTCGCACACAAGAATTTGTCCCGCTCAATTAGCATTTGTCTCTCCGATCCGAGAATTGCATGTGGGTGCAACAATTGGTCACTTCGGGGCACTAAATTAATTTTAATTCTAATTTTAACCGAGCCGCCGGCCGTGGCTCGGATCAACTGAAATTTATTTGCCAAAATGTGACAATCTCGATCTTGATAAATACGTCACTTCCTGCGACGTCCTCTCTACAACATGCACTGAACAATATTTAATATATTAAAAAAAAACTTAATTATGCAATTTGGAAAATTTCTCGGATATTATTTTGTTAGCTCCTTCGCTTGCAGACCTTTACAAAATTTTTGAGTAATAAATTCGAATTAGAGAGCTATTAAGAAAAAAACTTAAGAACATTATTAGGTTATAATAAGATCGTGGATTGACTTATTATTATTTTTTTACATGTATAAAGTTTTAATAACATTAAACTATATTTATGTTTATATATATCTTCATTATAAATATATAATTTTTTTAATGGGCATTACAAGGGCGACGACAAAACAAAAAATAACACTCCTTTACTAATCCCTTAATAAAGTGGCTTTAACCAAGTCTAAGTTTTACTTTAACCATGTATAAATTTAAAAAAATCGAAACGTTTTATTTATATTTCAAGTTAATTCCGACTTTTTCGTAAATAAATCAATAAATATGAAATATTATTTAATCACAAATAATCAATTTCTTGTTTTAATTTTTTATACATATTTAAGCATAATGGATTATATTAACTATATATATCTTAATAGACAGCATTTTTTATTGGTAGTTACGAAACATTTTTGTGAAAATTAAATAAATTCGTTCTTACGCGGCGATTAATTTTGTTCTTAATTTAAAAATTATTAAGTGCACTTTTATGTCGCTTCTAGAAAGATTTGTAAATCATAAAAAACCAATTTTACTCTCTATTTTAGTACACACTCAACTTGACTAATGAATTTTCGGGATTCTATTATTCGTAAGTTAAGTACGTGACTTGTTTATTTTATTTCGTAAGTTAAATACGTAACGTATTTAATTTAAGGATTGTAATATTGTTTTGAGAGCATGGAGCTTGAATAAAGTTTTTTTTTAATGATTTGGGCTTAATTAAACATTTATTCTATATTTAAGTGCGAATACACCAAAAGCTTTTGAAGCAATAATTATCATAATTTAATTCAGAGCATAATTTTTTCTGAGTAGTAATGGCTGGATCTGGTCATACGCTTAAAATATTAAAATAATGTTAGCAACATTTCTTGGACTAATGTAATGTGATCTATATTTGATAGCTTAATGTTTTTTATACCAGATACCTTATTTCTCCCAGTGTGGGTTTTGGCAAGTGTGGGCGTGAGAGTCATGTGCCAGCCCTTGCTCTCTTGCTCTCGCTCAGCTGGTAATTACCGTTCGTTTAGCATTTCCCTGCCTGCTTATCAATTAATCAACTTCTAAGCGCAGCTCGGCAATTGCAAATTTCACCTTCGGCTCGTTGGCGGTTTTATTATTTTTTTTTTCTTCCCAATCTGCAAATTTTTAGTTGACAATATCTTTCAAGAGGAAAGTGGAAAACCTGCGAAAAAAATAAATAAAGAGCACATAAACCTGACTATATCGTTGCCATAATTCAATGTTCAATTGTGTGAGTGCAGTGCCGTTTGTTTGTGGGTGTGTTTTTGCGGCTGTGTGCGTGTGCACATTGCCCGATGCTCGTACCGCTTTTCAGTAATCATTCTGTGCCTGACCGCCGCGGGTTCCGTTCTTGGCCCGCCCGAGGTTCCGATATAAAAGACGCGTGCCGCTCCAAAACCGATGGAGTTCGATTCGAGACCGCAAAGGTTCCGTGTCCTGCCTGGCATCCTCTGAAAAAAAATAGAAAAAGTATACTGTGCCCTCTCAAAGTGATATAACCGAAAAACAAGTGATTTTAAAAAATATTTTTGACGAAAGTAAAACGTAAAAAACCTTAAAAATGCATTTCATCACCCTCTCCTTTATAGGTAAATTATTATCAATTAGTACTTATCATCTGTGACTCATTGTAAGCCAATCAAAGTTATTTAACTACTCCAGTATGAGTCACATACTCAAAAAATTGACTCAATCGGCCATTAATTGGATTCTTGTACTTATCGCAATAGTGCTTATCCACATATCCCCATATACCTCCGATAATACCGAAAGGGCACGTCTAGGTTGCGGCTCCCACATTCTAATTGTTTGCTATTTATTTTGCAATTTTTCGGATTGTTTTAGTGGATAAGATGACATAGACAATGTAGTAATGATAATACGCTGGGATCGTAAATTACAAGGCGGACTTTTGCGTTTATGATTTTCAATGGACAGGTTCCCAGACCAGGGGAAGTGATGATTGCCATCGGAAGTGTACGGATAGGCTTGAGTATATATCCAGATAAATGCAGATCGAGGGATTTGTATTTGAATTCGGTACACAAGCGGTTAAATTTGTCAATTGGCTACATCCTGTGAAAGATTCGCTTATAGATAAGCTAACAAATCTGTGAAATGTTCTTTTTTTGATCCCATAAATTAAATTTTACAATAAAGAAAGTAGCTTCAGGGGTATATTTTCTATTGTGATTTACCCCAACAAAGAAGACATAAAACTGGAGTTATTTTCTTTATGTAACACCGTTAAAAAGGGGGATTTTCGCCATGGCTAATTTAGAAACCCCAACGCATTTTTGTGGGCATATCTTAAATCTAAACTCACGCCGTCACATCGGTACTCCAAAGCACGTCACAGAACTTTGGAAATGGATCACGCGCCCGAACAGATATCTGAACAAAAGACAACCTATTTCCGTCTTGTTTGACTTTGGGGCATTCGGAAAATACCCACTTAATTCGTCTAATACAGATACAGATACCGACGACTCATCATTGCGGGCAGACTGAGTGATAAGGTCAGCGAAGCTAAATATTTGGGCACGCTGGGGAGTCAGCTTATGGGTGGAAAAACTGCTGACCTAATCGAGATAATCGAAAGTAGTTTATATGCCCGAGATGGTGCAGTGATAAGTTGGGAATTGATAAGGGACTTTTCAAGTAGCGTACGGGGGAAATGCATATTAAACGATTAATTGGCAATTAACTCCACCGGGCTTATGGATCCGTACGAGATTCGATTAAGCTTAATCGATTTAATAAACGTCGCAAGGCGCCATTTCTTATCGGGCTTGCTTACTTGTCAGGTAGCTACCCCCCGATTAGCTGCGATTTCTAAATAAGTTATATGGTATATATATAAAAACAGGTGATTAAAAATATATGTAAGTAAAGACAACTTATATGTATAAAATCATCAAGGAATTTATCAGTTTTTTGGAAAAATATGTTTTGAACACAATTAGCTAAGTGATACAATTGTTGTTGTCCAAGATAAGACACCAAGCCAGTATAGACTTATTTTTTTATTTGTGTTTAATGCTATGCTTGTAGAAATCAATTAACAACTCCCGATTAGGCTCTCGTTTATAAACCATTTTATACTTAATGTACTAGATCTTTTTTAAAAAATAGCACCTTACACTATTGCTCGGAAGAAG